AACTATTTACAATGTTATTTTTGGTTTTATGCATATAGTTTTAAAAAATAGTCTTTTAAGATGAATACAAAACATGCACTTACTTTTAACACTTATATATCATTTCTGGTATTCTTCTTTCCTTCATGAAATCTGTGTTCCTATCTGGTATCGTCTGTGTTCATTCTGAGGAGCCTTCTTTATAATTCCTTGTAGTGTATGATGACTTCAAATAAATCTGTCAGCTCTAATTAATCTGAAAATACCTTTATTCTAGGGCTGGGGATGTGGCTCAAGCGGTAGCGCTCTCGCCTGGCATGCGTGCAGCCCGGGTTCGATCCTCAGCACCACATACAAATAAAGATGTTGTGTCCTCCAAAAACTAAAAAAATAAATATTAAAAATCTCTCTCTCTCTCTTTAAAAAAAAATCCTGCTATGATAACTTCAAATGAATCTGTCAGCTCTAATTAATCTGAAAATACCTTTATTCTATCCTGTTTCACTGATTTGAAATGCTCAGTTGATGGTATTTTTCTTCCAGCCCCTTAAAAATGTCATTCTGTATCTTTTGGCTCCCATTATGGTGAGGAGAAGTTAATGTTCTTCATATTGTTTACTCTTGTATGTATGCATTGTTTTCAGCCTTCTTTAAAGATTTTCTCTTTATCTTTGATCTTAAGCGGTTTGACCATGATATGCCTAGATATGAATTTGTTTGTATTTATTCTCTTTGGAGTTTTTGAACCTTTGGATCTGGTAAATGGTGTTCTTTGTTAACCCTTGAATCCCAAGTTTATAATTCTAAGACTATAATAAATATTCAGATATGATTTCAGAGTTACCAGATTTTTTTATTTGTTGCTCAATTTAAGTTTTTATAGATGTTCTACATCTGGGATGATGAGACAAAATGAGTTCAACTTAGAAATTTTTAGCTATTTTTTAGAGATTTTTTTTCAACATCAAACTATTTATGGGGCTCCCATTATATATATATTAGATTATCTGATATTGTTTCACAACTATGTGATGCCATATTTTTCTTTCTTTAACCATTTGTTTGTCAAATTGGTAATTTCTAATGCTCTGTCAAATGCGTGAAGTATTTTTTTTCCCCTTCTATCTCTAGTCTGCAGTGATACTTCCACCTACAGTTAGGTTCATTCAGTGTGTGTGTGTGTGTTTGTTTGTTTTCATTTGAGTTATTCAACTATTCATTCCTACAATTTTAATCCCCCACCTTTTTTTTTTTTAAATTACTGGGGATTGAACCTCAGGTTTCATGCATGCTTGGCAAGTATTCTACCACTGAGCTACATCCCTAGTCTCCTCTTGTTATTTTTTTTTTGGGGGGGGGGTGCGTGGATACCATGATTGAACTCAGGGACACTCAATGACTGAACCATATCCCCAGCCCTATTTTTTTTGGATTTTATTTAGAGACAGCATCTCACAAAGTTGCTTAGAGCCTTGCTTTTTCTGAGGCTGGCTTTGAACTCGTGATCCTCCTGCCTCAGCCTCCCAAGCCACTGGAGTTACAGGCATGTGCCACCAGACCCAGCCCTCTTTTTTTTTTTTTTTTTATAGTCTCAATTCTTCTCCTGACAATTCCTATCTAGTCACATATTCTTCTTTAAAAATGTTCCCCCCACCCCGGGCCATATTTATAATATAGATATACTTGTATTATATTATATATAATATATAATATTCTTTGGGCCATAATAGTTGTGCTAATGATTTTGCTCAATGTAATATTTGGGCCATCTTAATTTCTAATGAGATCTTTTTGCTTACAAGCCACATTTTCTTATTTCTCTGAATGTCTAGTAATTTTTAAATTACTTATTGGACTGTACTGATGATATACTGTAGAGATGCTGTGTTAAACACACACACACACACACACACACACACACATATATGTTTTTATTTTAGTCAGCAACTTTGTTACTGTCTGATCACCTTCTATAGGTTTAGTTTTAAATTTTGTTAGGACAGATCTGTGGAAAGCCCAAGGTAATTCTCAGGCCCCTTTCACTTAACAAGAGTCATCCTCAGATTCTTCTTTCAATGTGGATATCATTAGAGCTTGGTTTTTAGGCTTTCATAATATTGGTGTACAGTAGGCTTTATGTGAGGGTGTGACTTTTGCTCCTAAGTTGAGGGCCATTTCAAGGTGAAGCCCAAGGTGTTAATGAGTTCTTTTCCCTCTGGCTAAGTTGGACTGCCAACGTTTCCTTATACTGCTTTGACCTCCAGTATTTCTTTATCATTTTAACCTTATTGGAGCCACTTACTTGTATTCCTCCTACATTTGGCTGAGGACTCTCAGGAAATCTTGTAAACCTCTCTGGCCTCTCTGCATAGCTTCCTTCTCCCCAGTGCCCTTGTCTGTGCTGTACTTGGACTTCAGCTTGTCATGCTACATAGTGACTGAAGGCAGAGAATCAGAGTGATTGTGGGCTCACCTTTTCCTTCTCTCTGAAGTCACATTTTATTTTGCCTTCTACAGTATGTGAAACAGTTGCATCATTTTGTCTAGTTTAATATTTATGAAAGAAAAAATAATCTAGAAAAAATTACTCTGTCATATTGGAAGTAGAAGTCTCCCACAGAAATTTTAAGGGGTTGAAGTAAACTTTAGTGGTAATTTAAAAGGGAAAGTAAACTTTTTCTTTCTTTCTCTTTTCTTTTTTTTTTTTTTAAAGGAGTCTCACTATGTTGCCCAAGCTGGTGTTGAACTCCTAGTCTCAAGTGATCCTTCCACCTCAGCTTCTGAGTATCTAGGACTATAGGTGTGTACTCACACCCAATTGGTAAAGTGAATCTTGGTCTCTTATGATTAGAGTGAAAAAAAAGTAAAATGAACTTATGATGCTCATAGAATGAATCATTTCTCTGTAATCATTCTGCCTCCCACCACTAGTCACCTGTTTACTTCTCTCTTCACAAAGGAGACAAATTGAGTTCTGATACAGAAGAAAGCACGTAGAGAGATGCATAAGGGAGCATAATCGTCACACATTAGGCAAAAAGTTAAAGGGCTCCTAGACCTTTTTTTTTTTAATAACAAAATAAGCAGCTAAATTATAGCACTGTGCCAGGTACTAAAAAACTACCATAGAACATTTCTAAACAGTAAGAGTTCATTAAAAAACTTTTAATAAAGGATTTAAGTATAACAGTTATTTGCTCTATTAATTAAGTAAATGACCCCAAATCAACTAAATTATCAAACAAAATAAACTTTGTCATAAGAAGCTGAAAATTGTTGGAAGCTTAGAAGTTTATTCTCAAAAGCGGGGTGTTGTAACCCCCTTCCATTTTTAGACCATTCACAGGATATGGCACAAATCCACAGCTAGAAAATGATTAAATTTTTTTCAAAGAAAACTTTAAAATAGTATTTCCTTTACAAAGTTCATGATGGAGAAGAGATAAGAAAAGGCACTCTCAGTGATACTCCCCAAAGCAGAAATGGATAAGGTAAAAAGGAAAAGAAAATTTGTTTTTGAAAGGTAATAAAGAAAAAGGGAAAATAGACAATAACTTCATTTATATTCTAGCAAGGTAAGCTGAGTTATGCAATAATAGGTGTTCACTAGGTGAACTGGGGTAGTAAGGAGAAATAATATTTAGGCAGAAGGAGCAGAGGAAAAAAGATGCATGAAGGTTAGCATGTACTGGCAACATCCAGGGAGGGGATGTGAGAATGTGCTTTTCTTAACAAGGTAAAATATGATGTGGCTGCTGCTGGTCTGTATATCATGCTCTAAGTAGCAAAATTTTACCCTGATATTTATCAGTACTTCATTTCATTAAATACGAGTTGACCTTGTTTAGTTACTAAGTTGTCACCTTTTATTGAATTGAGTAGCAGGATGCATTATAATAAAATTTGAAATCATAAGTTTTAAACTTGGGCTCAAATATTAGTATTATGACTAAATCACTATATAGCTATGAAAATAAATCAACCCATTTCTGTTCTCTGTTTTCTCATGTCTGAAATAGAATGCTTGCCAGTTCATATAATTGTTGTTAGTCCTAGAAATGATATGTGTAAGTGCTTTGTAGGGAAAGGATGATTCAATTTGATAACTTCTTAAAAGCTGAAATTTTATGATTTTAAAATAAAGTACAGTGAATGGTCTAATCCTAAAAAGTATTGATATATGATGATTATTTACCCTTTTTCTTTTTGAAGGGTATCACTTTTCTCAGTGATTCTTGGCAAATTGGAGAGATGGTTCTTTGTAGTTTTTGAAAGCTTCCACTACTTTCCTACCCCAAGACTCACTAATACTCATGGTGTGATATTTAGAGATTTTTGTCATATAATTTTTATTACTTCTTGCTTATGGAAATTTTCCATATAACTTGCTATTTTCAGTTTGGTATGGGACAAGAATAGCCCTCTTCTGGGGGGCAGAGGACAATAGTCCATCCTGTTCACCACTGGAGCCTAGAAATAGGGTGACCAGTTTGTGTTACTCCCCAGGAGGAATGAAACTCAGGGAGGGAAGAGAGCAACAAAGACCTTGAAAGGAGACTCAAGGTTTTGGGGGCAGGAATTCTGGGGTCAAGGTGGTTCAAACCCCAGAAGAAGGGCATGGACTGTAGGTGGGTACATCCCTTTGATCCTGTTGACTCCTGGCCCTGTGGGGATAGACACAACCAGGCAGGCCAAAGCAGCCACTCTAAAGCCTGGAACAGGGGCCCAGGTTGTTGGGTAGGAATATATGAAGAAAATTAATCTGTAATCTCAGCTGTATTTTTTTAATTTTAGCCTATTTATTTATTTGCTTTATACTGTGGAATGTTTTATTTATGTGTGGGTTTTTAATTAATGACTCAAGGAGGTCACAAGCATCTTATTTAATTCAGTAGCTCTGAAATAGAAATAAGTCTTAGTAAGTTAAAAATATCTTACATTAAATATGTTTTTGCTAAAAAACATCATACTATAAACTTTGTTCCTTAACTCTATGCCTGTCCTTATGTTTGGATTTTTAGATCGACTTCAGCTCCCCAGGAATATGATTGAAAATAGCATGTTTGAGGAAGAGCCAGATGTGGTGGACTTAGCCAAAGAACCTTGTTTACATCCTCTAGAGCCTGATGAGGTGGAATATGAGCCCCGGGGTTCCCGACTGCTGGTGCGAGGTCTTGGAGAACATGAGATGGACGAGGATGAAGAGGATTATGAGTCATCTGCAAAACTACTGGGCATGTCCTTCATGAACAGAAGCTCAGGCCTTCGGAACAGTGCAGCTGGCTATAGGCAGAGTCCAGATGGGGCCTGTTCAGTACCCTCTGCAAGGACCTTGGTGGTCTGTGTTTTTGTCATTGTGGTTGCTGTCTCTGTAATCATGGTGATTTACCTACTACCTAGATGTACCTTTACCAAAGAAGGCTGCCATAAAAAAAATCAGTCAATGGAACTAATTCAGCCAGTTGCAACAAATGGGAAGTTATTTCCATGGGCACAAATTAGGCTTCCCACTGCCATTATGCCACAGCGCTATGAACTTCACCTACACCCAAACCTAACCTCAATGACTTTCAGGGGTTCTGTGACAATTTCAGTTCTGGCTCTTCAGACCACATGGAATATCATTCTTCACAGCACAGGTCATAATATTTCAAGAGTGACTTTAATGTCAGCACTTTCAAGTCAAGAAAAAGAAGTTGAAATCCTGGAATATCCATATCATGAGCAAATTGCCATTGTTGCCCCTGAAGCCCTTCTAGCAGGACACAATTATACCATGAAGATAGAATATTCGGCAAATATGTCTAGTTCTTATTATGGGTTTTATGGTGTCAACTATACAGATGAAAGCAATGAGAAAAAGTATGTAGCCTTTTCTATGCTGTATGATGACTTCAGCAATATGGATCCCTTTTCCACAACAGACCTATTAACTGAAATTTTTTTTTTAATTTAAGAAGTTAGGTGCCCAATAGAATGGTGGTTTGGGAAAATATACCATTACTCTTTGGCAAAGCTTTGAGCATATATCATCGTGGGGTGCGGGGTAGGAGTTTGCTGATGGAAGGGGATGGATAAAGTTTTTGTCAGTTATATTCTGTATCATAAACCTTAAGTTATCTTCAGCTTTTACTGGTTTACTTATTCTATGATTCTAATTTTCTATCACCCTATGAAGTCTCTATAGGAAGCAGAATAAAGAGGAAAATGGATTATTCTTTAAGACCTATGTGCAGAATTTTTAGGACATGCTTAGTCAGATGGAGAAAGAGGACACAAAGCATGGTATGCTTATATATGCAATTTTTAGTACCCTTATCTTTACTGGTTTACTTTTTAAAGAAAATTCTGGTTTGACTATTGGATTCTGATGGAAATTTTTTAAAAGTTTAGGAGACAAAACATAAAAGTATTCAGCTACTTATTTGGATGATATATTTCTCCCTTTAATTCATAGCGTATAGCTGGAATTTCCAAAAAGATAGATTTCACACTGTATATAGGTTATTCATAAATGGTTATGTCAGTTCTCTTATGTGCACAAAGTCTTTGTCATATCTGCTCAATGCAATTGGAGCATTCTCTCTATTACTTTGTGTACCAGTATATGAATTACTGATGTAGGCAATTTGGCTAATGTTCCTTGATGTATTATGAGAAATAGTTAGAAATGAATATTTTGAACCTATCTTAAGAAAACTTTTTGATCCTTCTCAAATGAGGAAACAGGCAAAGCAGTATCTGTACTTCTCTTCAGTAAGTAATTTTAGTTTTTCTTTCTATATAATACTTTTTTGGGAGAGGAGGGTACCAGGGATTGAACTCAGGGGCATTTGACCACTGAGCTACATTCCCAGCCATATTTTGTATTTTATTTAGGAAAAGGGTCTTACTGAGTTGTTTAGCACCTTGTTTTTGCTGAGGATGACTTTGAACTTGCAATCCTCCTGTCCCAGACTCCCAAGCCACTGGGACTATAGGCGTGCCCACTTTCACAGCTTTATATATAATACTTTTAAAATAAATGACAATTCTGTTGCTACATTTCAATTCATATATTTGACATTGAACAAAAATTTATAATTGAAGTGGCAGTTTGGAGTTCTTGATTTTAGTCCCCTTTTTATAGTCATCATCATCCCTAAGAAATATAGGATGTACATAAAAAGAATGACTTAGTGTGCAAGCCCCTAACTATCTCATCTGATTAGATCATTGCCTCAGAGTCCTTGGGCCTATTACTGTATGATGGGAAGCATGAATGTTGTGTAGCAGAGTAAGGTGATTTTGGGTATGACTATTGACTCTTACCATGGACTGGTTGTATTGAACTTCAAGTGCACTTTCCTGAAAATCCAATGATAAACAAATCCATGTAGAACATGCTGGAAAAATGGAACATGGTTTCTCAAAATTAAAAAATACAGTATTAAAATAGTATTTTAAAGTCTTAAAATAAATTAGCCACTGTGATACATTGCTTCCCTAGTTTACACCTCCTTTGTACATTGTTATCCCTAGCGCTTAGAATTCTCTTACCTGACCACCACCTAATTTGTTAATTGTTTTGAGCATTACTTGAGGAAGCTCTGAAACCACTATTATAAAAATGTAGGTTCATTAACATACCTGTTAGAGTAATGAAGGCCCTACATGATATCTTGGTAAAGGTACAAGTTTAGAAGATTATTTATACCTTTTAATATTTTATTATTTATACATTTTACTTATAATTCTGAGCAGTTTTTCTTTTTCTTTCACTTTTGATTATGCTTAGTTCTACTGGAAAAGTTTTTATACTTTCTTCTTTTTGAGGTATAATTAGAAAAAAATATTTAAACTAGTAGATAAAGTAATTAAGATATATATTCCTTGATTAGAAAATCAGCACGTATGTAACACCATGTATGGCCACTATGTGTGGTAAGGAAACTACCTGTGTGCCCTAAGTAGGGGACAGTGAGTAGTAACCTTGCAGTTAAACAGAAATTGTTGATGACAGACTTAAGATTCTAGGTGACAAAATGATCGTAAAAGAACTAGCAGACAAATTTAAGATGGAAGTTCTTTTGTTCGTTTCTTCATCCTTCAGTCTTTTTCTTGAACTCTTGAAGCATCCTCTTAACAGATCTCCTGATCTGTAATATTACTATAATCTTCCCCACAACCCCCATTTTTTCATACTGATGTTGATTTGTTCCTATGCTTACTCATATTTCTGTATTTGTTTCTATAAGTTTAGATGACCATCCTGATCTTTGGCTTATAATCCTTCAGCAGTTCCTCATTTCTAAAGTGGTTTAGTTCAAGGCCTTTCATTTCTGGCCCTTGTTTTCCTCACAGCTCTTACCTGCTATATTAAACTTCCTGTGCACTTTCCTGAAAATCCAATGAAATAAAAGCCAATATTTACTGGGAGCTGAAGTGCAGAAACTGTTGCATTATCCCCTTATCCTCTTATCCTTTCAACCCCACTAAGAAGTAGATATTAACATATTCATTGTATAACTGAAGAAAATGAGGCACATAAAGCAACTCATTTGTCATCTATGACTAGCAGATGGCAGAGTGGGAACTAAAAACCAATGTCATTTGAATGACAGAGGGACATTCTTAGCCACTGTGATATATTGCTTCCCTAGTATACACCTCCTTTGCACATTGTTATCCCTAGTACTTAGAACTCTCTTATCTGACCACCACCTAATTTGTTAATTGTCTTGAGCATTACTTGAGGAAGCTCTGAAACTAACTTTCTGAAAGCAAACATACTCACCAATAAAAGAATGTGCTTCAAAGTATTCAGCCTACATAGAAAAGATTATAATATCATCAAGAAGCAGCTTTCTCAAAGAGACTTTTGTATGAGATAGTTATTATTCCATCTCTTTTAATAGTAATCTAAGGTTTTATTTGTCTTAGAGTGTTATGATTTAATTTTAATCTATAAGTAGGCTCTTGTCTAAATAGTAGTAGAGATAACATAAAACTTTATTCCCTGGTCCCTTGTGGTCCTTCTGTTAACTAGGTAAGAACATTGGGGGCAGGGTAAAGAAATGGAATGTTAGAACGCTGATGTGTTTATATTGTTTCACATATGTTGATTGCTATCTTTTTTGCAGCTTACCCAATTAGAAACAGTCATTTGGGCACACACTTACCAAGAAAAAAATACAGTAATTTTAAGTGTGGAAGAAGAATTGTGGTGATCTAGTATTTTTAATAAATATTAATATAGGACTTTGTGGCATATAAATAGTTTTTATTATGATTAGTCTTATGTAATTTTCTCAAATACCTTGGGTGTTTGGAAGGGAATCCTGTCACTGATTTGCCCAAAGTTACATAGCTGGGAAATTGTAGAGTTTGGGTCTTCAGACTCCACTTTCCACACTGTTCCTTTTTTACTTATCATCTGACAGTGAAAACTAAACCCCAAACAAGAAAGGTTGCTACACAGTGGCTGTACATATGCCTTATGGCCTGGGAATGCACCACAGGGGCATACTTGCCCTGATTGTTTTACGGCCGTTTGGATAATCTCCCAAATGGAGATTTGCTTTATTTCTCTACCTAATTGGAAATCTGCATTTTACCCCCTGTGTCTTTTTATACTTTCTTCCCAGCCTATAATTGAGGACTTTATATGCGTCATAGCCTTAATAGTTGCTACTGTGTGGGAGGGAGGAAATTTTTGATTCACGTCTGAGAGTAAAGGAAACCATAATACTACAGGGCAGCTAGATTTTTCAGTCTTGATCAGGATGTAACCTGTGAACTTGAAGTTTAGTTTGGTGAAGCCAAAGTCTGTACAAAAGATTAGTGGCAATTAATGACAACCCTTCATATTGATCTTCCATCAGACACCTGTCCAAGACCTCCATGGCCAGCTGCAGCCTACCTTCCTGGCTTCATTTCTAACTACACTCAGCAGCTGCCCTAGTCCATGGACATACCTGCTCTCTTTCCTTGTGCTGCCCATTCTTCCTTGAGTCTACTCTCTTCCATTTTCTGCCTGCTCAAATATCCATGTTTTAAGGCCCTCTTCAGACTTTGTACCAGTTTCCTTAGAGTGTCTTTAGCCACTAGTCAGAATTTGTTTCCTACCCCTTGTCCCACTGCTTTGTTTTTACTGCCAGGACATGATTTACAACTTGATATGCCTCTGTGTATTGTATAAACCTCTGCCTCTCCTAGTTGATTATGGGTCCTTTAGGGACTGGATTGTACCATATTTATCTTAACACCCCTAGTACTTGGCAGGATGCCTTTGTATAGTAGGTGGTCAATAACTTTTGGATTGAATTTGCATTTTTTTAGGTACTTTGCAGCAACTCAGTTTGAACCCCTGGCAGCAAGATCTGCTTTTCCTTGCTTTGATGAACCAGTGTTTAAGGCCACATTTATCATCAGGATCATAAGGGATGAGCAATACACTGCTTTATCAAATATGCCTAAGGTACTGTGTGTTCCTTGAATGAAAAATTTTTGCTCTCTTTCTCTAAACACACTTGAATTACTTAAAATACTTAAATAAGTTTGAATATAGATATTAGTTGGAATCAGTTGGGAAGTCAGCCTGTGGAGCACTTGAAAGAGAAAGATTTGCTGAACCTAGAAAATAGGTGTAGGAAATGCAAAGTGTACTGAAGTTGTGCTGGTATTAATAGTGTGAAGTAGTACAAGATCAGAGACAGTGAATTTGCTATTCAAAACAGTGTTATTTGATTTTATTTAATCACAATTGTTCTTATAATTTTACTAGTAAAGAAAAAAATGACGTCCTTGTAATTTGGAGGTCAACAACAAGAATAGGAGCCTCTTTCTTGAAGCAGCGGGGTGAAATCAATTAGAGTAGTTCTAAATAGAACCCATGAGGTCATTGGTTGTCTCAGACACCTGAGGGACTGTGTGCGGCCTGATAGAAGCCTCCTGGAACCCATGTGGCTAGTGGGGAGGAGCAGCCATACCCAGCAAGTCATGGAGCCCACCCCTCTAGGCAGCAGCCAACATGGTCTGTACTTAACTAAGACTGTACTCCAACAGCTCCACTTCGAGCCATACTCCTCACCTTAGTCTTTTTCTGTAAAAGGTGGATGCCAACTTGCTTAGTATCATGGTTGGGAAATCCTGCAGTTGCAGGATTTGTGACTTATCATCTTCCAGCCCACTAAGTCTTCATAGGAGTATTCAACATGGCACTCTACAAAGCCTTTTACATCATCCGAGGGATATCCCAGATGTAGTTTCTGCTTCTATGGATGTATTCATAGCAGTAAAGTGGAACCCTCCTAGGTTGTATAGAAAGATTTGTGTTTTAATGAAGTTTTAAAGATGAGAAACAACTACTTATATTTATTTAAAGCCATTTTGGAGCTAAAAATTCATGGATTTTGCTGTACTCAGTATGTTCTCACTACGAAGGATGGTAGAACAAACTGAGACTAAGGGCGATGCTCTGTCTGGAAACTCATGCTGAGATTAAAATATGCTAGTATCTTCACTTTTTATTTCCTATATGAATGTTCAGTTTCTCAGTGTCTTTGTCATTGTAATTCATTCCTGCAGTTACAGAGCTGTCATCTTTTCTCTTTGCCTGTAGAAGTCGTCAGTCCTTATGGAAGATGGACTTGTTCAGGATGAGTTTTGTGAGAGTATGAAGATGAGTACTTACCTGGTTGCTTTCATTGTGGGAGAGATGAAGAACCTGAGTCAGGATGTAAATGGAACCCTGGTATGTTGATGTGGTAATTGTCCGAAAGCCTGTTTCAGAGTGGGTTAAGAGGAATTCTGGTTTTATTGATTGCTTGTGATGGTCTTATGAAGAGAAGCAAGCTTTTAGATCATGCTCAGACATTTTATACCACAAATATTGTTTTACTTATTATTAATTCTACTATTGGTTTAATAACTGAAAGTAAATAATTTTCAAGTTTCTTCATTTATAAGAGAAATCTAGTAAAACATCATTACTAAAGTTTCTAGAACTGTACAATATAGTGGTCACTAGGCTTATATAATTATTTAGATGTAAATTAAATAAATTTAAAATCCATTTTCTCAGTTTTATTTGCCACATTTCAAGTATTATAGTAGTGTTCCTGTGGCTACCATATTGCATAGATTGAAATGATTAGACAGATGCTGTTTTTTTTAAAAAAAAAACAAACCCTGGGATCCAGGTATTTATTGGTCAGTGGGGCTCAGCCCCAAGATAAAAACAAAAAACAAAACAAAAAAACACCTCCTACTCGTTATAATAGCAATCATTAAGAATACAAAAAATAATAAATGCAGGCAAGGATGGGGGGCGGGAAAGATACACTCATACATTGTTGGTGGAACTGCAAATTAGTACAACCACTCTGGAAAGCAATATGGAGAGTCCCCCAGAAACTAGGAATGGATATGGCCCAGTTATCCCACTCCTTGGTATTTCTTCATAAGGTCTAAAATCAGCATATTTTAGTGATACAGGCACATCAGTGTTTATAACAGTGCAATTCACAGTAACCAAATTATGGAACCAGCCCAGGTACCATCAACAGCCATAAATGAGATTATGGCATTTCTGGTAAATGGATGGAACTGGAGAATATCATTCTAAGTGAAATAAGCCAGACCCCAAAAGTCAAGGGTTGAATGTTTTCTCTCACATGTGGAAGTTAAACCAAAATAAGGGGGGAAAGGCAAGGGTAGAAAATCTCATGAAAATAGAAGGGGGATCAGTGGAGCACAGGAAGGGGACTAAGGGAGAAGGATAGATGGGAAAAGGGAGGAACTGCAGAATGAAATTGACCAAACTATGCTATGTACATCTATGAAAATACCACAGTGAATTTCACCTTTATGTATATCTATAAAGCTCTAATTTAAAAAGAACTATAAATAAATAGTTGAGGAGGAGAGGGAAAGAGGAAGTACTGGGGTCTGAAGTGAAACAAGTTATATTCCATATTCAATTTTTTCAAAATGAGCTGTGTTATTATGTGTAACTATAATGCACTAATAAAAACATTTTAAAAAGAAAGAATGAAAGAAGAAAAGCAAATCCTGATTGAGTTTATTCATAGAAAATGAGTAAGATTTTTAAGGGTCTGATTTATCTACATTTTGTCAAAATTCATTCTAGTAAAGTAATTCTGTTTTTCTTTGTCATTGATACCCATTTTTAAATGATTATTTGATTATATTTTCATACTCTAATTTTATAGCAGAGACCTAATAAAGCGAATATTTTCACATAAAATAAATAAAGAAGAATAAAGGGCTCTTTTAAAGTCCCCCATTTCCCTCCCTCCTTCCCTACTTCCATTCTTGCCTCGTCTTTCATCTTCTATGTTGGCTTCTTACTACCTGTAGGATGACATTCAAATTCATCATTCTGATATTCTGATATTCAAGGCTGCCCTTACAAAGCTCAATTATCTTTCCAGTTGCTCCAATGTTAATTCTCCCATACAGCCAAGATAAATTATTCATAACACACATATATGCCTCATTTGTGTGTGTGTGTGTGTGTGTGTGTAGAAAGAAAGAGATTGAGAGAGAAGAATATAAGGTATAAGTTGGATTTTTTTTTCCTTTTGCTTGGAATAGGAAGAAACATGGTGGTTAAATATGAACCCTGGAATCTTCCTGGATTAAAATCCCTCTTATACACTTTAATAACTTTGAACCCTTAAGAAGACTACATTCTAATCCTCTGAACATCACCTTTTACAATTCTAATATTACACACACACATACACACACACACAGACACACAACCATTTATTATAGATATAATATATATAGTGTACATTTTATTTTTATCATATGTAAAATCTTTTGCATGAGATATAAATATTCTCATTTTTAGTGCTACCCAGTAGTAAATGTGTTTTTTAAAAATTAACATTATACAAATAAACAATAATTTTATTAATTTATTCTGTTTTTTAGGAAATATGGAAGAATGTAACATGTGGAATAATTCTGTATGTTAATTGTGGGCACTTGTTTATAAACTTTTTTTTTTTTAATTTTATATGTTGACTGAGGATGAAGCATTAGATCCATGTGACTGATGAGGAAATCATAGAGGTTAGATTGACCTGAGATGACATATCAAGTTATAGTCAAAATTTTACTATCCAATAGCTATGCTGTGTCTTATACCAAATTACATGAATAACAAATGTAGACATGGTGACCAGAACTATTCAAAACTTGGAGTGTAGCAAAGGATTTTTGTTATGCTAAAATGTTGTAATCTTTAGACTGCCTTCTATTTTATAATATTTGACACGAGTTCAATTTAACAAGGTCAAGGATTAAGGCAATAGGGATTTTCTTATTAATGTGAATCTTACCAAGCAACTAAAAAGTCACGGTTGACTGTAGATTATTACATGTGACCTGTAATAATAAAGACTGTGTCAGAGGCTTGAAAAAGAATATTTGTTATTTCTGTTCATTCTTCATTCCTTAAATCTCTCCCTGCCTTTAAGAATGCCAGAATTACCTGTAAAATTCTAGGCCAGTTGTAAATGTACTGTTTTATTTGTTTGTCTTGAGGTTTTTGTTTTGTTTTTTGCCACTGCACTGCCTGCCTTCATTTTTATTGTACACAGGTCTAATTGCTAGAAGCAAAACTTAATCATGATTAGTCCCATGTGGTGTCTGTCCACATTTAAAAGAATCTTCAACTGTTTTATCCATGTGGTTAGAATTTTAATATTCATAGAAATATGACTCTGTTCAAAATTTCCTCAAAAAACATTTCTACCTCAAGTGTCTTTCCACCAGCCTGGGACATTATGCACAATTCATATTATTCTTTTCCATCTAATCAATCATTTTGAATGGACTTATTTCTGTTTGTTTATTTTAGGAATGTATGCTTTTTTGTTGTTCAGTTATTTGTTTGGGAAAGTCAGCATTTTTCAGAAAATTTAGTATGAAACCTCTAATATTTTCTGTCCCTATACAACTTGCAGTCCATAGTATTGTTTTGGTGGAGGGTGGGGCTGAAACTTGATTGTGCTTTTGCTTTTGTTAACTAATGTTCATTTTTAATAATTTAAAAAACTGATAAATTGAACCTAACAAATCTTTTATTCCTCAATCCTTTTCTTTGGGAGCTGATCAAGAATATTTATAGTTGTGTTTTTAGAAATCTCCCATAAGGTCCTTGTAAGATGTTGGGCAAGAAGTTTTAACTTGTAAGTCTTGAGACCTGAGTGTCAGTTGATTTCCATTTAACAATTTTTTTGGGGGGGTGGGGGTTTATGTGTTGGGGAGCAACACTAAATCTCAGGCATGCTAAACCTCTCTCTGCCACAGAGCCACACCCTCAGCCCCCATTCAACAATGTTTAGAATTCTCTTACAAAGGCAAGAATGCTATTCAAGACTTTCTTTGCTAAGATAGATTGCTCTGTTTATTTTTTATTTTATTTTTAAAATTTTGTTTTTAGTTATAGGTGGACACAATATCTTTATTTTATTTATTTATATGTAGTGTTGAGGATCAAACCCAGAACCTCACACGTGCTAGGTGAGCACTCTACTGCTGAGCCATAACCCTGGCCCCTTTGTTTATTTTTTACTGCTTCTGTTGTTCTTAGATTAAGCTTGATAATAATTATAATGATTAGATGATTTGTTTCTAGTAAGAACTCTTAGGTATGTTCTTTTAAGGAAAAGAAAAAGAAGTAGAAAGGAAGAGAAAATACCGAAGTACCTTCTTTTTATGATCATTTTATTCCGGAAATGGGAATAAATGAACCCTTTCATCAGATTTCAGTTTCATGTACAGTCACATCGTATGTATTTAACTTAGCATTTAACCCTTAAAAGAGAAAATACCCATTTAAATAATACAGGTGATTCTGTCTTCTTTCCCACTTATTACATGTCCTGCAGTGAATGGGCAATGAGACACATGAACTGTTATTCTCTTAGTTGTTTTCACTTACTGTGTGCCATCAAAATGTGTTTCACATGATTTATATATAAATATAAAAAATGGGACATAAAAACAAGCCCCGAATGAAAAAAAGCAAAGAATAAGTTGTCCCAGACTGAAAGAAAAATTGTGGCCATACTTTTGAAAGAGAATATTTTTATTTATAATCCGTTTTCTACAATATAATTTCAATAAATCTGCCATTTTTATTTTGTATGTAAACTTGAGAGTTAACTCTACTAGCAATATGTGACTCCTCTGTATTTAGTGCTTGCTAGATGTCAGTCTCTATGATAGGCGCTGAAAAGATAAAAGTTAAATACATATAATGTGAATGTAAATGAAACTGAAATCTAAGGCTCTTCATAGTTTGTAAGTAAAGAAAGAACTGCAAGTAATGGGAGAAGACAAATATCAAAAAATTTAATGGGCAAGTGCTTATAAACTGCTATAAAATGACCAAACCTAATTTACTTGGGATGTTATGATAGTTTCAAAAAGAAAAGGAATTAGTAAGGTATTTTTTGAACATTGTTGTATATATGGAAGGAACTTACTAAACTCTATGGGGACTAAAAGAATTGTAAGCAAGAGTTTCTGTCCTAAAATATCTCATACAACTGTGTATTTCTTAGGTATGCCAGTCCTGACAGTGCTCACCTGAATATTGTGGCATTTTAATTGTATCTCTCCTTATATCACATATAATGTTTCCCTTTAGGTTTCGATATACACTGTGCCAGAAAAGATTGGTCAAGTTCACCATGCCTTGGAAACATCTGTGAAGCTTCTTGAGTTTTATCAAAACTATTTTGAAATTCAATATCCACTTAAAAAATTGGGTAAGAATCACCACACTTCTGATTTTTACTGCAATTGTAATAAAGATTTGTATTGTAAATGTTTTTTAGAGATAGTTTTTACTAAAGTTACTTTAAAAAGCCCAGAAACATTGTTAATGCTTTAAAAATTGTAATTATTAAATTATTTACATTCTATGAATAAAATAACTTGGAGCTTAAAACACTTATAAGTTATGGGGCTGTCGCAAAGGTACTATGTAAGTGCGATTAGCTTAAGGGCTTAGTCTGAAATTTGACTGACTTCCAAGAAATTTTGTAATTCAAATAACAAAAACTGCATAATGGGAAATCAGGAGAGCAAGAGAACTTTAGTACTCTTCAATGTAGAGCTGTTCCTAGAGAGCTCAATATGGATGGGCCCTGAATTTTGTTCCTCTTGCTCTAGAAAGCTGATTGGTTGTGGAGGCATTTTTTTTCCTTTGGTAAGGGACAGTGAGTCACCTGAAAGGAGGTCAAATCTTTCTCAGCTGACAACTAGTTAAGGAGTATGGAGAGCAAGAATAAGGATGGTGCATGCCTGTAATCCCAGTGGCTCCGGAGTCTGAAGCAGGAGGATCAGGAGTTCAGAGTCAGCCTCAGCAAGGGTGAGGCACTGAGCCAACTCAGTGAGACCCTGTCTCTAAATAAAATACAAAATAGGGCTAGGGATGTGGCTCAGTAGTTGAGTATCCCTGAATTCAATCCCTGTACCAAAAAAAAAAAAAAAAAGGAATAAGGATGGTTCCACTTTCTAAGGAGTATAAAAATAACTCACTGTCTTCACCATGATAAGCCAATGAATAACATATTTTGTTTTAATTAGGGGGTGTGCCTTATATGAGGAAAGTTATAACTTTTTCCCCTGTTATCTCTAGATTTGGTGGCCATTCCTGATTTTGAAGCAGGAGCAATGGAAAATTGGGGTTTGATAACCTTCCGAGAAGAGACTCTTCTGTATGACAATAATACTTCTTCGGTGACAGATAGAAAACTGGTCACTAAAATCATTGCTCATGAGCTGGCCCATCAGGTATTAACAACCAGTGCTCTTACGTCTTATAATTGTGTCTACTTCGTATACTAGAGCTTTAGAGTACATGTAGATGTTACTAATTATTCAGCTTTTTTAAAAAATATTACCTTCTCTTATAATAAAAAGGCACTTTTTTAGCACAAATTTAATTTCCAAATGAAAATGTTTTTGTTTGTATAGGATGTTTAAAGCATTTTAATACCTTAAGATTGGTAATAATCTCATTTTACAGATGAAGAAACTTGAGAATCTGCTTAAATAAATGATTTGCCCAAAGTCACATGGCTAATAAGTAGTAGCATTTGGGCTTGAAGTCACTGTCTCTTTGAGACCCTTTTCCCCTAACAATTTATAGCTTCTCAGTGTAACTTTTTGTAGATGGGTTCCCTAAATTGCACTTTCTCTGACAACTCTTAAATCCACAGTTGTTAGGACTAGATTTAATTTTTCTTCTTCTGCTGGAATGGGGTTCTGTGTTAATGTAGGAGAGAGAGGTTCTGAGTAAAGTGTGAAGGCATCTTTATATGACACAGAGAAAAAGAAAGAAAATTTTGTGAGTATACAACATGCCCTCTTCCTCAATACCTTGTCTCTGCTTGGCTCTGGATGTGAAGTCCTTGCCAGGGTTGTGTATGGTTCAGGGTGTCATGAGGGGCCCCTTGTGGAGGAAGACCAGGAAAGGAATTGGTCTGCTTACTGTCTACCTACACATCTGTGTAGGACTTGGTAGCCTCGTGAAGACTTCTTGGCAAGCTGGAATATGAAGCATTTATTCACTGTTATAAATGGGCCATAGATAAAAGGTGTCTTTGTGGATTCTTCTACATCTATTATTTCCAGGGCTAGCCATTGTCACTTGGGGAGTATTTCTCTCTTATTTCTTCTTTAGGACTTATAAAACATCTTCCAGTGAAACAGGGTTTAGCATAAGTCTTAGACAATTTTCTGTTATAATTCTGTAAAGTGTTTTGTTTTAGTATCTTGCAACTTGATTTTTGCTGCTAATTTTAAATAAATCATAGGCTACCTTAGCTAAATTGCACACCTTACAACCACTTTTTATTTCAAAGATTTTTAACATACATTTTTTAGGGGAGTCTCATTATTTTTTTCTTTCTTTTTATTACTGCATAGAAGAAAACATTTAAAGATGTTCCCGATTTCGTCTGTTTATATATGGCAACTTTCTTAAAGAATGTTATTTGAATTCAGGTTTGAATCATGCAAATGCTATCTCTGACTTGGCCAATTGAGAGAAACCTAAAGCATGGACCCCCTGACTATAGGAAAAGCTCTCACATAGAACGAAACTTTCTTAGTTAACCTGCATGGTTGTAGATATAATGGAAAATAATACTATTAACTTAATATTAGAAAGTCAGTTTCATTATCTAGGAAACCTCATTTCCATGAGGTAGCCAAAAAAGTTTTTATATCCCTATTTGGCATGTTATATAGCCTGTTTTTAAAATTGATGAATATACTAATAAATATATTAGTACTCTTTCTTGCTTTTTTTTCCATTCAGTTAAGGTAAACTATTAAAAGTTTTATTTTACTTGTAAAGGAAATTTACACAACTTTTACAAATCTCTGATTAATTCAAGTATAGTTTGTTTGAACTGTAATACCAGTATATTTTTAAGATATCTTAATCTGGTTATGGACAGTTAATATGACAGTTCAGCCAGTTTTTTGAATATTCCTGAGAATGTAATTATCATGTTGGTTGGGACTTTGTTTTTCCCACAGTGGTTTGGTAATCTGGTAACAATGCAGTGGTGGAATGACCTATGGCTAAATGAAGGTTTCGCCACTTTCATGGAGTATTTTTCTTTGGAAAAAGTATTCAAAGAGCTCTCCAGTGTAAGTATAATATTTGTCTTACTTGGAATGCTAGGAGGAAAAATAGTCAAGTTATGTTTTCTTTGCATTTGGAGAAATGAAAATGTTTCTAGAAAACTATACTAAAATTCATCCTTGTTAATGATATCCATACCTTTTTGGAAATTTGACAATGAAAATTACACTTTTATTGATATGTTTCACTGAAATTATGTAAGTTTATATGTTTTTGTAATTAAAATGAATATTTTAAATTGCTTTCCTACATTCTGTTTTTAACAGGTATGGCTCTTCTGCTTGATGGGATTTAGATAAGGTTGAAAAGCCTTTTTTGCAAAGCAAAAAATTTTTTTTTATCTCGTCTATAAAGAGAGAAGAAAATTAAGACATTTTATAGTAATTATATCACTCTGTTGTCACTACATGAATACATTCTTATAATAGCAATATATAACTTCATACAAACAGATAATTTGTCCTGTTATGGTACAGACCATATTTTGTATTTCCCAAAAATGTGGAATATCCTTCCATGATAGAGAGACCTAATAATGTTGTCACTGTTATTAGACTCTGGAGATATTCTGAATTTAGGGACATTTGAAAACATTAAGCCATGATGTGCCATATTTTGCCAAAATAATTCAAGCTATGAGTGGAAAAGTGTAAATATTTTTTTCAACCCTTAAATTCAGTGACTTTCTGTTAAATTTCCTGGAGAAATGAGCCAAGACTGCTTTAAAGCAAGAAGTGTTCTTTGAGCTTTTAATCTGAAGTTTTTGTTTAGGACTTGTTAAAAAATTTCAAATAAAAGGAATTAATTTTTAGCTAGAATACTAAATAAGGCATTCCGAATTTGTATACCCTATTTAATTAAGCAATGAGATATATAGTTTCACCACTTGGTGGTGCCCAGAATTTTGAAAACCCCCTAATATGTATTCTTTGGGAGCTCATCTGCTGAACTATCAAGAGTTCCTACTGTTTAAGAGATATTTTACTTTAATTGGTTCTCAATTAAGAGAAATGTATATTGTCTTGTTAAAAATCCTGTACTATCTATGAGAAACCAGCTTAAAGACCAAGTTTTTTTTTTAATTTCAGTTTTTATTTTAAAAATTAACTCTAGCCATTTTAGAATATTTATCTTGGATACCCACATTTGGCATTTGTTTACTTTAGTAATGGGCTCTTAACTAATCTGTATTCTCCTGTTTAGGAAATGCTGATTTTCTTGTGACTAGGTTATAATTATACTTTTAAATTTAAGGGATGTGCATTGAGGTCATAATCTTTCTGGATTTTCAAAAGTTTATATTCTGAAATTTAGCATAGCCAATTGTTTTTTCATCATGACTTTTAGTAATAATTAGCAATAATATCAATAACTGCTGTACTTAACCTTTGCCTTGGATACATTCATGATATCCTAATCTGTTTAATTTTTTACTAGTATGAAGATTTCTTAGACGCTCGATTTAAAACCATGAAGAAAGATTCGTTGAATTCATCTCATCCAATATCATCATCTGTTCAGTCTTCAGAACAAATTGAAGAGATGTTTGATTCTCTTTCCTATTTTAAGGTATTGCTACGCAGAAAGAAAGCAACGGCAGTAGGCTTCAAGTTAATTTCATAATGTCAGCCAGTTGCATGATTTAGATTATTTTAAAAATTAAGTGAATATTATTTTCAGATAGCCTGCTAAACTTTAAATGTTTAAATTTTTAGCATTTGTATCTATTGAAATTTTAGTCTTAACTTTTTATGAGGTTTCCTTTATCTGTCTCTATTTTTAAAGTTCTGTGACTAGTTCTCCAGGCAGTTACCAAGATTATGTGGCAATACATCCTTCAAAGTTGATTTATGCTACAGATCTGCAAGTAGAACATGTTCAGAAAAGGACCTAAGTAAGCCTGGAGTTGTGTTACTCAGCATTGAGTTATATTCTAAAGTTAGGATTACTAAAACAAGTAAGCAAAAAGACATTTTAACTATTGAAGATTATAATGCAGGATCAGAAAGAAACAAGCTCTAGGTTCATGGATGAAGAAAAGATAAAAAATTAGGAATCCCATTAGGATCACTATAAGAGAACAAAGAAATCAAGAAGCTATCAGCATCATTGTTTTGAGGGCAGGGGTGAATGTTATTTACCTCCTCATTTTGGCTCTTGAATTAATTAGTTAATAAATTCCTGCAATAGAGCTGGATGCAATGCTGTACACCTGTAATCCCAGCAGCTCAGAAGGCTGAGGGAGGTGAATCAAGAGTTCAAAACCAGCCTCAGTAATTTAGTGAGGCCCTAAGGAACTTGGTGAGACCCTATTTCAAAATTCAAAAATGAAAAGGGCTGGGGATGTGGTTCAGTGGTTAAGTATCCCTGGCACAACAATAAATAAATAAATAAATAAATTCCTGCAGTAGATAGGGAATAAAATACATAAAACTTAAGATATAATTCATATAATCAAAAAACTCAAAATTTAGGAGGTGAGTATTTGTTGACCAGGAAGAGAAATAATGTATGCTGAAGTGGTAAAGAAACTTTTTACTTGGGATGCTGAAGAGAGATTCTTTGGAGGAAAATAGGAATTCAAATGAGTTAAATAATAACAATACTGGTTAACAGGAATGGGAGAAACAGGGTAGGACGAGAATGAAATAATGAGGGACCACTGTCAGGCAAGAAATGCTTATTTAGAGATAACATATGACTGCAGTGGAAGCCACATGTGGAGTACAGAAAGATGAGAAAGGTAGCAAGGCCCAGTTGCAGAAGTTCCTGAATGCCATCAGGAGTCCGGATGTTTTTTCTGTATGTAGTGGAAAGCTTCAGAAGATTTTTGAACAGAAGAATTACTTGATTAAAATTACTATTTAGAAAAATTAAATTGGTTTTAGTTTATAAAGTAGATTTAAGTGAGGGGAAGGGAACCCTTAAGTCAGGAAATTGCTTCACCCTTAAGTCAGGATATTGCTGCTGAAGTTTAGGCATGTAATGTAAAAGATACATAAGGTATGGTAGTAAGAGTAGATAGAAAACAATGGGCATGAAAAACTGGGTTGGGGTAAGTACTTAAAGGACTTTGTGACGGGTTAATACAGATAAAGAAGGAGGCAGAAAAATGTTTCCCAAGGCCAAGCCTGACTGTGAGAATTATAGTACTGCTAACAAGAAAATCAGGAGTTTCATTAGCCATATTAAATATATAATAGGTTCCCTTTATCTGCAGTTTTACTTTCCATGGTTTCAGTTACCTGTGGTTAATGGTGCTTGAAAAAATATTAAAAGGAAAATTCCAGAAATAAATAATTTGTCAGTTGTAAACTGCACACCATTCTGAGTAATGTGATAAAATCTCTTGCTGTCCTTGCCCTGGTGTGAATCATCCATTTGTTCAGAGTGTTCACACTATGTATGCTACCTGTTAGTAACATAATACCCATCTTAGTTATCAGGTCACCTACACAGTATCATAGTATTTATGTTCAAGTAACCATTATTTTACTTTATAGTGGCCCCATGCACAAGAGTTGTGGTGCTGGCAATTCACATATACAAAACAGACACCATAGTGCTTCCTTTAAGTGAAAAGATGAACCTTCTTAACTTAATATAGAAAGAAAACAAATTATGTGCTGAAGTTGCTAAGATCTGTAAAATAAGACATTTTGACAGATTACATTCACATAAGTTTTATTTGACAGTATATTATCATTATCCTAATTGTTCATTTTATTATTAGTTTTTATTGCTGATAATCTCTTACTAGGCCTAATTTATAATTTAAACTTTATCATAGTTATGTATATATTGGAAAAGGCATAGTATACCCAAGGTTTGGTACTATCTATGGTTTCAGGTATCCTCTGTGGGTCTTAGAAAGTATCCCTTGTGGACAGGGGAAATTACTGTATTTCAGTTAGAGCTACTGCAGTGATGTGTGTGTGTGTGTGTGTGTGTGTGTGCGCGCGCGTGCGCGTGTGTGATGCTGGGGATTGAACCCAGGGCCTTGTGCAGGTGAGACAAATACTTTACCAACTGAGGTATATCCCCAGCCCTACTGCAGTAATTTTTAAAGCCTGTTCTGGAACTTTCAATAAGGAAAAATTTTAAACTTGTGGTTCTGTTGTTGTATAGAACATACTACCTTTAATATAGAACTTAAACAGAGCAGTTATTTTAGGATGTATTGACAGAGCTCTGTCTGCCTCCAGTACCTTCCTTCCAAATCCAGAATTCATTATCTCCTGATCATGTTGTTTCCACAGCATATTTAACCTCTATTGATATGGTAACTACTTGTTTCAGAATTGAAAATCTGGCAAATATCTCCCATCATTGAGAAAAGCAGGAAACTGAGTAATATTAATATTTTGTGTAAGAAAAAGTAAATGACAGTAGGGAATGTGTTTGACAAACATGTTCTGTTTGTTCTTATAATCATCAAACCCAGGTACTAATGGAGGTATCTTATGAGGATTCATTTATGCAGCAAGTTTTACAAGTATCAACCTTACACCAGCTATTGTTCTGGGTACTGGGGATACCACAGGAAACAAGCTAGACTAGCTTCTGTGAAGCTTCCATTTCAGGGGTCAAAGATCGAGACAGACACTATACAGATGAATGAATAAATAGGTGTTATGATACCAGAAATAAAACATGTAAGGAAATGAGAGTAACAAAGCAAATGTTGGTCTACATACCACAATTGGGGAAAACCACTTGAGAGGTGATATTTGTATACTATTTGAGGAATTTTGAGGGGAAGAATGTATCAAGCAGAAGTAACCAATGTATAGAGTTTGTGTACAGAAAAGAGTTAATGTTGCAGGAATGAGACTGCTATCTTTTGAAAAATCTGCTTGCAAGACTGGCCCTTGGCTGGCATCTGGGAATCTGGATTTTGGAAAAGTTTTTATCGTTCCATGATAAGAGTGGCCTGCTGTGCCCTCAGTTGTACCAACAATGTTGTTTATGCTAAACATTCTTGCCTTTCCTTGAGTCTGGAATTTTGATATATGCCAGGTAGAGGATACCTCTACAGATAGTATCTTGGGTGCTGAGTCTCTAATGAGCATTCCTGGTAGAAAATATTTCACATATGTTATCCTGTCTTGCTGGAGGGAATAAATATATCCTGTATGATTGCCCTGGGAGAGGACTCCTGAAGGTTTGAACCTAGTTTTCTCTTGACTTTATCCCATGCAACTTTTCCCTTAGCTGATTTTACTTTGTAACCTTTTACTGTAATAAATTATAGCATGAGTATGACTGTCAGCTTTGTTTTCTGAGTCCTCCTAGTGCATCATCAAACCTGGGACTGGTCTGGGGGAGTCCCATATAGCTTGAGATGAGAGATTGCTTTCCATGTTCAAGCACCTGCAGGGAGCCAATATATCTGGAGTAGAGGAAGAGGAAAGGAAAGTAGAAATGAAATCAGAAGAATTATAAGAGATCAGATCATTGTAGAGTCTAAAAGGAGGCCATGGCAAGAATCTTGGTTTTATTCTAAGTGAAATAAAAGGATCCAGGAAAAATCATGATAGATTTTATTTGTAAAAGATTGCTCTAGTCTTCAATAGCACATGGAATCAGGAGCACTAGTTAGGAAGTCGTTGTAGTAGGACTAAGGTGGCAATAGTGAAGGTGATGAGATATGGTTGGACTTGAAATATTTATACAAGTTGATCCAGTAGAATTTGCTAATGGATTAGATGTGGAATATAAGAGAAGAGTTAAAAACAAGGTTTTTATCCAAACAGCTGGAAAAAAAAATGTATTTGCCATTTGCTAAAGTGGAGAAGACCACAGGAGGAGTAGAACTGGTGAAAGAAGGAAAAAAAATAGTTCAGTTTTTCAGTATGAGATGCACCTTAGATATACAAATGGACCAAACTGGCAGTTTGATGAGTCTGGGATTCAGAGAGGAAATATGGTTGTATATATGTGAATTACAGAGTCATTTAAAACCCCTGAAGTTGAGAAGATCAACTAAGAAGCAAATTAGGTAGAGAAGAAAAGAGATTTAAAGAGAAAATGCCAGGATATACACCAAAATTTACTCACTGGGATGATGAGAAGGATCCAGCAAAGTAGACTAAGTATGATGCCAGGGAATAGGGAGAAAGTCAAGAGTGAAATCACAAGGCCAAGTGCATAAAGACTTTCAAGGAATACTGCCAGTGGGTTGATAAGTGAGTCTGAGAATGGACTTTGGTTTGGTACCAGAGAGTTTAATAGTGACCTTGATAAGAGCACTGCCAGTGAAGTGACGGCTAGCAGAGGGCTCAAAAGAAAATGCAGACCACATTTTTGAAGAGTCTTACTATAAAAAGAGAAGGGGCATGAAATGCAGTGATAACTGGAGAGAGCGTGAAGTTAAGGAAAGGTGGGGATTTTTAAAATTTGTTTAAAATTAGGAATGCTAAATAGTTTTTATTTTGTTAATGATAATGCTACAGTACAGAGAGGAAAAGTGGTGATATAGGACAAAAGGGGAATTGTTTTGGAACAAGAATGAGTACTTAAATTTATAGAAAAAATAATAGGTATAAAATGTAGGTCATTAAATTTATATGTGCTGATAATCTTTTATTTTAGTTTCTATTTGCTGTTGGACAGCATTGCATTTATTTTTGTTTATTTTTATGTGGTGCTAAGGATTGAACCCAGTGTCTCACACATGCTAGTCAAGCACTCTACCACTGAGTTACAGCCCCAGCCCCTGTACTGATAATCTTAATGAATTAATACTGTTACATTTTTATCAGAAGTGAAAGTCATTCAAAAAATATTAGTGCCTATTACTGGGCATTGAGGTTCTATTTTAATTACTATAGTTGAGTTTTTTTAAATTATTCCCCCAACTGGTGTAGCTTAAAAGAGGAAATAAATATATAACCAATGCAGAAAGTAATATAAATTGCTATTGAAGATGGACAGAAATGATTACTATTTCAAATAAGGAAAGGCTTCACAGAGGAGGTGGAGCCAGAATGATGACGTGTGCATGAGTGAATATAGTATGGTCTTAATAGTTGCATGGCTGGTTATGAATTATCAGTGTATGCTTGCTGCTCTGTACATATTTGAAGTGACTCTGTAGGAAGAAGAGAGATTCTGGCTACTTCAGCAACATGGCATACTAAAATTAGAAAGTAATGCACTACCTAGAAGACAGGCTTTTGGGAATTCTGCTGATTCATTGTGTCTGTAGCAGTATATGCTCACAAATGGAGCTGGCACTTCAAGAATTGGGTATGGACATAGGGATGCCACAGAAAATTGAGCATGCTCTTCTATTAAAATATGAAAACTGAGCATTTCAACACTAATACTGAAACAGTAAGTGTGCTGATAGACCACGTAGAATGGCTCATGGAAAAAATAGTACACATGAATATGTAACTCCATTAATTCTTTTTCAAATTCCTTAAAATAAGTTTAAGACATTTGAACATAATCCACATCTAGCTATGAGATAGTATAAGTACATTGAACATGTAAAAGTACATGTTCAGAATGTTTTGAATATTAGATTTTCGGTTCTATTGCCTATAATATTCTATTGTTTTCTTCCATTTTCCTCACTTTTTTGTTTGTTTTTGAAAATAGGGAGCTTCCCTCTTGTTGATGCTGAAAACTTATCTTAGTGAAGATGTATTTCAACATGCTATCATTCTTTACCTGCATAATCATAGCTATGCATCCATTCAAAGTGATGATCTCTGGGATAGTTTTAATGAGGTGAGTGGCCCAAATAATTTTAAGTTCTGTCTTCTTACAGTAGGAGCTCTTCTGTTTATATTTTTATCGCATAAGCAAATAAGTCTGTGGTCGCAAAGTATTTTATAATTATTTAAGAGAGAGAGCTATGGTATATCAGTTATACAATTGGCATAAAATATTTGTGAATTTAAAGTCATGAAATGAAAGTGCTGTGCTTAATTGTTGAAAAAAAAAAGGTGGGTTTCCATACTTTATTCTCCATTCTTACTTTGTTAGGAAAAGGGAAATTGTCCCATATTAAAGGATATTACTGTATCTTTGTTATTTGATTTTCTAAAAAATCTCTTTTCCTAGTTTTTTTTTTCTTTTTCTTTTTTTAATCTCCCATTTACCATTCTGTATTGTCCCCTGTAATCTCTTTGTCTTTTGAGTCCACATTCCTCTAAGTAGATGATATGTCACAGGCTAACTGCCACAAACTGTATGCTGCCCTAGGATCGTTTAACTCTTTGGATTTTGTTACCTACAAATATTCTAATATATAGTGTAGTTAGGTAGATGTTATGCATTAAAGCAGTCGTGAACCTAGCCTGCTGCATGAGTGTATGTTGACTGTACAACATTGACAAGCATTTTAGTTTTTTACTCTGATCTAGATCAGTTGTTCTTCATGCTCTGAAATATTGCATGAAATTTCTGGCCATATTTCCTAGGAAAACCACAAATCATTGCACATTTTCAAAGTTTTATGAATGTTGGATTAAGAACCCTTGTTTTGGCTCCTTTCCATATGCTTTTTCTGCTGCTACCCAATGTGAATTCTGGTGTTTTCTAGCTGTTAAGTTTTTGCTCAAAAGATATTCCTTCCCTACTCTGAATTCTTTTTGAAAGGTTTCAGTTCTTATTACCTAACACTTGATTCCAAATTCTATAATTATATAGTAGCATTTCAGTTGAAAATCATGTTTTTTACTTAATACCCATTATCTTATCTCTTGGCATTTAGAAAATATTTCCGTCTTCCTCACTGACTCCAACTTTTGGACCATAGTGTAGACCCATCTCAACCTGGTCCATAACATTATACTCAGCTTTTTCCAGCATCCACATCAAATTATGCATTGGGCTCTTCACTTCAGTATTGCTTCAAACACTCCAAAGCATGTTGCTTTCCTTACCACCCTCTAGTCCATAAATAAGGAGGCCAGAGCCACTAGAAATATAAGAGTAATATCACAATGAATTTGGGAAGAATCACTTTATCCTTTTGTGCTTTAAATAGGCATATGGTGATTGAGGTAAGGTTTGCATAGTAGCATAACATGAATTTATCTGCATGTGACTTCATTGCTAGCAATCCAAATCTAGATTTAATCTAGAAAAATAATTTCAATCATAAATTCAGCCCTTTTCTTTGAAGAGACAATTGTTCAAAAATTGCTTCCTAAACATTGATACCAGTCTTAGGGATAGTGGCATTAGAGATCTGCAAACATCTGACAATAGATTCTACATTTTTCAGATAAGTTCTTGTGTTTTCTGGGAAAGACTATATGTGTGACCATCAAAAAAGTTTACCAGTATTCTCTAAAGAGACTTAGTCAAGAGAACCGACTGCTGCTCCTGCTGCTGCTCCCTGGCTAACACGAAGCAGAGCATAGGAGAATGAAGAAAGTTTAGCCTCAGTTGATTCAAGAATTGAACAGCAATTCTTTCCATTCTAGAATACATATCATTAGTCATATCTTCTAAATGTTAGCATTGTAACCTAAAAGAGCACTTCTACTTTCTTAGGAATTTTAATTTTAAGGAATTTAGGAATTTTTTATCTTAATGAAACCTGTTAGTTCATTAAAAGCACTAAAAGCACATGCTGCTTTTTGACACAGTGCCTCTCTCACACCCTCAGTTTTCAGTCAGTTCTGTTCCAGGTTTCTTTTCTTTTAGAACTTTCTTGTGTACCTAAATTAGATGTGTAAACTCAACGCAGTGTTAATGCTTCTTTTTTACATTAAAATTAAATATTGTCTTGATAGAATGTGCTCGAGAACGAGACAAGGGTACAAATAAAACTGTAAAAATTTTAACTAATTTTTTATCTTTAAGTAAAAATACCTTATTCTTTTTTTTTTTTTTTGTAGGTTACTAACAAAACACTAGATGTAAAGAAAATGATGAAAACATGGACCCTGCAGAAAGGGTTTCCTTTAGTGACTGTTAAAAGGAAAGGAACAAAACTTTTCATACAGCAAGAGAGATTCTTTTTAAATACGAAGCCTGAAATTCAGCCTGTAGATACAAGGTATATACTCTTTGTTTCTGTGTTGTGTCTTTTGTATCCTCAAATGAAGTATATTTAAATGTTTTGTGATCATACATTCTAATGAAACTTAACACGATTATCCTTCTCTGGGAAAAGCTTAAATTTCTCCTTTCTATCCCCAAACCAAGAAGTCATGTGTAACTAAGTGAAATATTGGGAAGAGATATAACCTTACAATATCTTCTTTTTACAGTTACCTGTGGCATATTCCAATATCCTATGTCACTGATGGAAGAAATTATTCAAAATATCGATCAGTATCACTACTGGACAAGAAATCAGGTTTGAATATAACTAATACCTTCCTAAAAAAGAAATTGCTAATAGCATAATTTAGAAAATCTGACCAAAGAGCAAATCAGACATTACACTTTCCAGTGCATATACCCTGTCAACTTATTTTATGAATCATATATCCAAGATGTGATTAAAATGAGATTGATTCTATGTTCACACAGAATTGGTCTTTAATTATAAGAAATAAGGTACAAAAAGTCACAGGGAATGTTGCTGGCAGTCTTGACAAGAAATAGCAAATGTTTTATTTTTATTTCCTGGATAAATATTTCACATTTACAAAATAAGAAGTAATAGAAACAGAGTAGTTTATTAAAGTGTTATCTACTGTCTACTGTCTAGGGATGGAATATAGCAATTGCATTTTAACAAGAATCCTAGATGATTCATATATATAATATAATAAAGCCTGATTCATGACCTAGATTTAGAGCAAATAATTATTATAATATGTATTACAGATGTAGCATACCTTTTTTGCAAGGAGAAAGTGGAGCAGGAAACTATCATAACAAGGAGAAGGGAGATAATGAAATGTGAACGTGATATAGGTTCCAAAATTTAAAACTTTTAATCTAACATGACATTCAAAATGTTTCAGATTTTGAATCATTTCAGATTTCTGAATTAGGGATGCTCACCCAGTAAAATCTAGGCAAATAGTTCAAAAACCAAACAACCGACCCCTGCCAAAACTCCAATATAAAACATTTCTGGTCCCAGGCTTTTCAGATAAGGAATGCTCAATTTGTACATGTTGACCTACAAGCAAAGCAGTCTATTAAAAGCAATTGAAATGTGTTTTCTGCCCATCTGTTAACAACCAATGTGATAAACTACACCATGTATCCTAAAAATTTCCATCCTATAAGGGTTATGTAGAAATCAGTAATGATGTTTTTAATTTATGAAAAAGGGAAAACTTCTTTGAATTTGGATGCAAATGTACTTAGGATGAAGGAGATGGCTTTTTGTAGCCACATTGTCTTGTTCACTACTTGGCTCTATCATTTATTACATGTGTGATTTTAATTGAATCATGTAACCTCTCTAAAATCTCAATCCCTTGACTATAGAATAAAGATAGTAATTATACTTACTTTATAGGGTTATGATGATATTGCCTGGCAAGAATTATGTACTATAAAAAAGCAAGCTGTTATCATTGCTGTTCTTTTTCAAAAAGTAAACTTTTAAGCATAGTGTATCTGTATCACAAAAAACTGAGGAAATGAAGAACAAATGTTATCCTATCATAACTATTATCATGATTCTTTCCTTTTTTTTTTTTTTTTTTTTTTGGTACTGGGGATTGGCCACATCCCCACCCTATTTTGTATTTAGAGATAGGGTTTCACTGAGTTGCTTAGTGCCTCCCTTTTGCTGAGGCTGACTTTGAACTCATATCCTCCTGCCTCAGCCTCCCAAGCTGCTGGGATTACAGGCATGTGCCACCACACCTGGCATTTCTAGTCATTTTTAAAATAAGTTTTTCACTTGGTTGAAATCATTATGTACATATGCCTTCTTAAAAAAGATATATACAGGGGCTGGGATGTGGCTCAAGCGGTAGCGCGCTCGCCTGGCATGCGTGCGGCCCGGGTTCGATCCTCAGCACCACATACAAACAAAGATGTTGTGTCCGCCAAATACTAAAAAATAAATATTAAAAAATTCTCTCTCTCTCTACCTCTATCTCTCTCACTCTCTCTTTAAAAAAAAAAAAAAAAAAAAAAAAAAAAAAAAAAGATATATACAATAATTGACATAACCTTCCCTTATTAAACATCTGATTCATCATTTGTCCTTTTTTTAAAATAAATTCCCCAATAAAATTTTTGGCTCTTTAAGTTTTTTCCATTATATAAACTTATTAGGAATTCTTCTCAAAAATGAAGACTGTGTCACCACTTGTAATTCAATACATGTGACTACATTGTCCTTCTTCTGTGGGATAACAGTTGAATGCCACTTGAAATATATGAATGTGCCAGTTTTATTACAAAACTGCAATGAAGTGTTTCTATAATAACAACAACAGTTTAAACTCTAGGAACAGTTGGTGATGTCACCCTATTTTGATTAATCTAGTGTGGCTAGAAGATTTAAAAAATGCTGCCTTCTCTGGTGTAAAACAAAACTATAAACTTTAAGTGATACTTGGAAAGACACTCTGACCACAGAGAGAGTAAATGAATTTTTTTCCTTTATCCAGCATCACAGCCAAAACATGGCTGCAACATTTAAAATAAACGTATAAGGATAAACTTAGCAAACCTCCTGATATTTTATTAAAATTTTGATGGTATTAGAAATAATTGGTCAATAAGAAAAATCTTTTTGTCTATTTATTTTAGGTCAGTTTACATGTGAGCTTGTTTAACTCTTTGAAATTCATACTGCATAGATTAGCTCACAGTTTCCTGCTTTAGATTTCTCTTTCTTAGCCTTTACTGGATGTTCTCTTCTTTATTCTTATTTATTTATATGCAGTGCTGAGAATTGAACCCAGTGCCTCATACATGCTAGGCAGGCGCTCTACCACTGAGCCACCACCCCAGCTGTTCTCTTCTTTTGCTGGTCAAAAATTCTTTCAACAACTCAAAACACGTCATACTGCCTCTCATCTCTGGGTCTTTGCATGTGCTATTTACTTTTCTTGAGAAGTAACCTTGCCTCCTTACTTCCTGGATCTCCTTTTATCTTAGCTCAGCCATTGCTTGCTCTGGGAGGACCTCGCTTGCCCCAAGACATGGTAGATGTCCTATTTGTGTTTTAATAACATCCTTTACTTCTCCACTTGTTCTACAAGTACTGTTTCACTTAATGTCTATTCCTATGTTTGATATATACCCCCATTGAGGGTAAGGATCATGGCTGTATGAGTCACTCTTATAAACTTAGCACTCAGTAGACGAATAAAAATTTATCGAATGAATAAATGTTGGTCTGTAATGAGATGACTCAATTTCAGATGTAACTATAAAAATATAGAAAACATATTCAAAATATGATGAAATATTTTATTGCCCTTTATTTGAAAATAATCTCAAATTCTTTAAGGGGAATATACAAAATGCCATGTAATATAGTTGGTTTAATCTAGTGACAGAACTTGGCCTATATATGACCCATATATGACTATTACTTCCTCTTCTCAACTGCTTATTTCCCTTGCTGCTGCTGCTGCTCTAATTTCTGCCAGTCAGGTTTTGAGAACCCACATTGAAAATTTTTTTCTTACAAAAAATGTTTGATGCTGAGGGCAGTTGAATTTCCTTGATTTCTATACTCCCACTGAGAATTACACTTACTTTAATTGAATTTTCATTTTTTTCCTATTCAGAGAGGGTGACTTCAGGCCTCTGCTATAAGACTTGACTATAGCTTATTATTTTGATTTGTTAAATCTATAGTATATTAACTGATATTCTATTTCCAAGGTTGCTGGTGAGTTAGTTCAGTCATATATAGGAGTTTATATTTGGTCAATGTCTTTGTTAATTTTCCCCATATGTATGAATTTTAGACAGTTATTTGTGTGCATAAGAAGACCTAAATGTGACCATTTTTTCAAGGCTACATGTCAAAGAAATTACACTAAACCAATGTTTCTTTCTCCACTTTTTTTTCCCCCTTCCTTTCCTTCTTTTATCCACATCTTACTCAAATGTAACCTCTTTAACTATAGGAGATATTTATTTTAAATCTAACTGGAAACATTCACATTTCTGAAAGTGTATCATTGTTCCAGAAATATTTTTGTGAAACTAAAAGACATGTGACGTATGGAAAGACACTTGGAAAAAGAGAAGAAAAGGAATATAATGACTAGGCATGGTGGCGCACGCCTATAATCTCAACAGCTTGGGAGGCTGAAGCAAGAGTATCTCACATACAAAGCCTGCCTCATCAATTTAGCAAGGACCTAAGCAGTTTAGTGAGACCCTGTCTCAAAATAAAACAAAAAAGGCTGGGAATATGGCTCAGTGGTTAAGTACCTCTGGGTTCAATCCCCAGTAAATCTACCCCACGCCCCGCTGCCAAAAGAAAAAGAAAGGAATATAATGAAGATATTCATCATGTGCCATTCTCTGCTCTTGCCCTTTTCCTAATAAAATAAAAGAAAGGAAGGTGTATTAAAGAATATATTAACAATAGGGGATGTAGTTCAACTGCATGTATTATGCTAGCCCCTAGAAGTAAATCAGATATGAAATTTTGTAACTATTTGTAATAAAATATGTTTACTGTTTCAGTGCTTTAATGTTTCTTTGTAAAACAGTAGTTGATTTTCATAGTTCATTAAAAAAATGGCTTTTTTAAAAATCACAGTTAGATTACTTCATCTGGGTTTCTTCCATCTGAGTTACTCTTTTTTACTACTCAATGGACTGTGAAATTTGGACTGTTAATCTGTTAATGATTATAATAAATTAAAAACATATGAGTATGGCCTCATCCATATTTGAACTGCAGGATGTAGTTGCCCTTCCTTGTATGCAGAGCTGTTACTTTTGATACCTGTGGTTTTAAGGTCCTCCATTCTAGATCATTCAGAAGACCCAAAAGGGACTAGTTTGTTGATGCTTTAAATGATAACTCTCTATACTATTGGCTGCATTGTTTATGTTCTGTCAACTTGATGACAGTAATAATTTCAAATACACTCCCAGCTGGGTTTCTCCTCTCTACCATCTGGAATTGGCTAGGTTTACAACAGGGCAGGTTGCTTATCAGCCAAGATACTCAATATTTTATAATTTTTGTGTCCATCCAGTAGAACTATTGCCAATCTTTGTCTCCCTTTTTTTGGGCAATGGAGATTTGGGGCTCTGTAGCCCTTCCTCCTAAGGTCTTCTCTTGGAAAAAGCTTTATAGGAGATTGTTTGGTATCTGGAGAATGTTGATATTTTTTAGATTATCTCATGATAAAGTTAATTTTATTAGTCATAGGTTTATTAAAAATGATTTCAACTTGGAGCAGCTGCTGTTGCCATTACAAATACTCCTTAGAAGTGCATTCTGCCCTGGAAAAGAAATAAACTGATTTAATCTAATTGATCTTTCCCACCTGCTGCTATATCAGCAGTACAACAGAAATGAGTATGGAATTTTTTAATGAAAAAAAGAAAAAGATTAACGGATATGTCCTGTTAAGACTTGATCAGAATGTCTTTTTTCATAGAGTTGGATTAATAAAGATATTAAATGAATCTGATAAACTTAAATAATTCATGCTTTTGAAGTTGACAAACCCTAAAGCTTCAGATACTAATAAATAATCCTTGAGTTTACAAGGATTCTCAAGCATTTTTATATACAAAAACAATTCACTAAAATTTAGATGATGAAAAAATTTAAAGTCTGTATGTTTCAAAATAGAAGATTGTTTAAACTGTGGTAGGTCTTAAAGTGGAATGTTATGAATCTTCATATGCACTTCTGAACAGTGCATATGAGAACAATGGAAAATGGAGGGATGATCTGATAGGTGAAAAGCAGCATAAATATAAATACATATAAATCCACTATATGAAATTGTAGTTAGTTAAAGCATACATGGGAAAAAGCTAGACAGGCAATGCACTCCAAAATGCTATCATTATCTGAATTTAGATTACTTTTCTTCTCTTTTCTTTCTCTCGTAATTAAAAAAAAAAAAAAAAACTCAAAGTATTGATTACTTTAAAATGGAAAAATAGTATCACAAATATCTACAAACTTTATTTACATATGATAGGAAACTGTTTGCCATGATATAATCTTTATTAACTCTTTCATTACTTCAAAGATGTTTTTGAACATCTGCTAGATACACTGTTCTATGGATTGATAGATTAGCAGGGAACAAAATAGTAAACCCATGGGGCTTATATGCGAATAAATAGTAAATGTCAAGATGCTTAAAAGCATACCCCTATTATGTTGAAACCATAACCTTGTTGCCAACTTTAAGGGACATTCTTGTTTAGTAATTTTAAGGATTTTTTAAAAATTCATACATATATCTTGTAATCAATTAAGCTTTTCATTATTTGTATATCAGTTGAAAAAATTGGTTAGAAATTTTTAACAATTCTCTCAACATATATATGTGTGTATGTAATATATATATTATCATATGACATGTATGTGTGTATATATGTGTGTATATGTGCATGTATGCATATATACGTATGATATGTGTGTGTATATATATATGCATATATATATATGTGTGTGTGTGTGTGTGTGTGTGTGTGTGTGTGTGTGTATGCTATAAAAATGGTAGGGATCCAAAAAGCACATATGGCTTTCTATTATTTGTACCTAATGAAACTATAAGCCTTCCCTAATGTTATTTCGCTAACTTTGAATTATGTGACTTTTCTGAATGGCTTTGTTGTTCTTCCTCTCTAACTTAACAAAAGACTGAGTGGTGCATGCACTTATCTCTCTGTTTTTCCTTGCTGTCCCACAGTACACATACTTTCCCTTTCTCTCCCTCTCTCCTCCAGCTGTAATGAACTACGACCTGTTCACTGCAGGGGCACTGTGGACACTTTCTCTGGGCCTTGAACACATAGGGTCCCTACTGAACCTTTGTCACTTGACTAACATCTACATAATCTGAAATCACTTACAAGAATAACAACTTAGACATCATTTCTTCTGAGAGACCTCTCCAGACTTTTCTACAGGATGAAACATTCTGCGTGCTTTTACTGAATTTCATATTTTCTTCCTCCATTGATGGCACTTATGTGACATTGTGCTTATTGGGCTACATTATATCATAAAAGCAAAGATATATCTGCCTGTTCACCATTTGCTCTCCAGTGCCTACCCTAGAAACAGCAATGCCCAGTGAATAAATAATCCTTAAGTGAATGAGTGGCAATCTTTGTTAACATGAAAATAATTGCACCAGAAGACCGGCATTCACTTTCTTAGTAGAATGATTAAAAATAAAAATATGCTATATTAACTATTAAAGTGCCCATTTAACTTTCTTTTCTTATATTTCCTTCTCAATGTTTCTCTCACTCTCTCTCTCTCTTTTTTTGGTCTGTCTTAGATATCATCAATCTTACAGAACAAGTACAGTGGGTCAAAGTCAATACAAACATGACTGGCTATTATATTGTACATTATGCAGACGATGACTGGGCAGCACTAATCAAACAGTTGAAAATAAATCCTTATGTTCTGAGTGACAAAGACCGAGCCAACCTCATCAACAACATCTTTGAACTTGCAGGGTAGAGTATGCTTGTTTTGAGTTTTTGTTTTGATGAATTACTGAGGGTAAAGAATAGTTCAGAAAAATGGTTTACTAACAGACATGGTGGTATACGCCTGTAAACCCAGTGACTCAGGAGGCTGAGGCAGGATTGATCTCAAGTTTATTTCAAGTATAGCTTTGGCAACTTAGTGAGACCCTATCTCAAAAAAAAAAAAAAAAACAGGGGGTGGGGTGGGGTCTGGGGATGTAGTTCAGTAACAGTGCCCTTCGGTTCAATCCCAAGTAACACCAAAAAAGAAAAAGAAAAATGGTTTTGGAACATCAGCTAAAAAACATATTGAAAAGTTAAGAAACATACAACAGAATTTAGTAATAATTCAAGAGCAGATACCAACAAGCAGAATACATATTTTTGCTGAATAAATTGCTGTAAGAGTTCAAACTTCCTTTGGTTTCACAGAGAGAATTCTTTTTAATCAGCAGTGGGATTTAAGTGTGATGTTTAGTGCCCACCTGTTGGCTTGATGGACACCTCTAATGGCGAGAGTCTCCTTATCTGTGGACTGCTTGCCTTCCAACCACTTCATATATTATACAATCCCATAGCCTAGAATGGCAGTGGCCTATTGTAAAGATAGTCTTTGAAGAGATTACCAGTTTAGATTGATAAATTGGCCTAAAAGCATGAGGAACATTCAATAGGATTCTACTTGACCACTCTTAACTTCATTTTGGTTCATTTTTTATGTAGTGGCCTTCTTGTATTATCTCAACCATCACTGCTATGATTTTTATATAAAGTGGCTAAAGTTTAAAATGTGCTCACCATAAATTCACAGTGGATAAATTTCCACAAAACAACAAATAAAATGTTTTTGTTTCTGATTCACATACTCTCTGTGCCATTCCCTTTCTTCTGTTAAATACAGTTATTAAATAAATAAAATCAGTGTTGTTCATCTTTTCTCACCCAAGACATTGGGATACTTTTACTGAATCAGAAGAAATTCACAGGTGACTTGTAGAATAAAACATGAGATATTGTATATCTTTGTCTTAGAATGCATCTTTAAACCTTTGGCCACATGAACATTAAGTTAATAATACTGAGTTTTAACTGTACAGGATGCTACTCTGGTTAAATTTCTAATCCTTGAGACTAGCCATCTAGCCATAAAGCTCTCCAACATTCATAGAATTTTTCTGTGTGTTTCAGTATATTTACATTTCCTGTTCTTTCATCCATTAGCCTAGGCAAGGTGCCTCTTCAGAGGGCCTTTGATTTGATTGATTATCTTAGAAATGAGAGCTATACTGCACCCATCACTGAAGCCCTGTTCCAGACCGGCCTTATCTATAACCTTCTTGAGAAACTGGGGCAAATGGATCTGGCCTCAAGACTGGTGGTAAGTCTGCCTTTCTGCCAATTTCCCTTATTGCCTGCCTTCAATGTTGTTATTTACAGGTTTGGGTTTGTTCAGCCAGTATTGGACTAAAAAAGCAACCAACTAAATTCCATTTTCTTCACTTTCTTGATTGTGAATTTTTTACTTTGAATCAAAATGTAATTGCTTACCATGAAGAGATAATAAAAGTTTTGTGTAAGGTACATTTGTTTGATTATCCAAATGCAGACTTTTGACACTGGTCTCAGTGTGGGGTCATATAAAAAGAAAATGTCTCTATTTGATCCTAGTTATTTTTTACACAGTGAATTTTTGAAATAGGCCCCTTTTCAAAGTAGATATCCCATTAATTTGCTAGTTGCCAGGCCATTATGTTTGTGCTGAGAAAATCCTGGTTAGGAGTCCTGCTGGTTGCCATCCAGTGGCTGATGACACTGTTGGCAAGCACTAAAGGAGTCGGTATTGCAAGCTGTTTACTATTTGTTGTTTGTTTTGCTCTGATTTTTTAAAATTTATTTATTCTAATTTGTTATACCTGACAGCAGAATGCATTTCAATTCATAGTACACATATAGAGCACAATTTTCATGTTTCTGGTTATATACAAAGTCACACCATTCATGTCTGCATACATGTACTTTGGGTAATAATGCTCATTTCATTCCATTGTCTTTCCTACTCCTCTGCCTCCTTCCTTCCTCTCCCTCCCTTTTGCGCTATCTAAAATTCCCCCATTCCTCCCATGCTCTATCTCCTCCCATCTCCATTATTGTGCTACTCCACATTTTCTATGATGATCCTTTCATTTATGGGTGATTCTCAGTGAGGGGATGGGAATACAAGGCATTTGCGCCAGAAGAAGCTTGAAAAGCACCCTCTCCCACATTTCTAATCTGACCCCAAAGAAGGCACCCTATTTTTAGTGCATGAGATTTTAAGATTATTTCTGAGGACTCTTTAGTGAATGGTTAAGATTTTTATCACTTTCTGTTCCATTAGGCTTTCAGCTAGCAGCCCTCATTAAATAATAATAATAATAATAATAATAATAATAATAATAATAATAATAATAAAAACTAGTGCCTAGATCGAGACCTGGCCCAGGTGACACTCAGTAATGTTGGATGAATAAATGAATAAAGCACACCAGAAACAAAAGCATCTGAGTACTTATTATATTCTGTACATTCTGAGTGCTTAATGTAGATTACTTTATGTAATCCTCACACATTATCAAAATAGGTATTTCTGTCCCCATTAAATAAATGAGGAGACTAAGTAACTTCCCCAGGCACTTACCTAGTAAATTATAGAGCCAAGATTCAATCCCAGATTACTTTCACTCCAAAGCCTACTGTCTGTGTTGTGTTCCTATATTTTGTGTTCCAGAAATATTTCTTCAGGATACCTTTTGTTTGAAAAATTAAAGCTTCTTTCTTGCTATCATTTTTTTTCCTTTTTAAAATTGAAATTTTACCTAAAAATAGTTTGAAACATTTTCGACTATACATTTAAGATTTAAAGTAACAGACCCACATCTAGTTGTTTTCTTGAAAATGAGATCATCAATTTATAATATATCTTTTATACGTATAATATTAGTAATAGAATTTTTTACAGATTTTATGTGCATTTCCAAGAGATATGGAGATAACTTGCTAATCTCTAAAGCAAATGTAAAATCTAACACAGGATTACTGTGGTGGGATATAAAGAGACTGGCCATTTATTAACCAGTTTGGCTAATGTTGATAGACATGGAGTTGTTTGTAGTATGGAGCTGTCACAGGTAGCACTACTATGAGTGTTCTTGTGTTTATGGAGAATATTTATATGCATTTCTGTGGGGTATGTGTCTGGAAATGGAATCACTGACTCATAACATGTGCATAGTTAATGCTGTACTGTCAAGTAGTTTTTCATAGTTGTACCAATTTACATTCCCATCAGCAGTGTATACAAATTCTAGATCTGCCATTGTTAGTATTCATAATAAATTATTTTTCTTTTAAGCAGTTGGGGGTTATTTACCAGTGTTGCAATTTTGGTTTTAATTTGCATTTTCCTGATGACTAGTGAAGATGAATTTCTTTTGATATATTTACTATTTTATTTATTTTTTTTTTATTTTTATTTTTTTTATATTTACTATTTTAATGTTGGATGTTATCTTTTGTAAACTGCCCAACTCTTTTGCTAATTTTCCTATTAAATTATCTGTCTTTATCTTATTAATTTGTAAAGTTCTTTGTCTATTGCAGATATGAATCTTTTGTTGATTATGTGTATTTTGAAATACCTTATTTTCCTCTCTTAATGATGTTTATAATTACTATAAACTCTTAGACTTTAATGTAGTTTAGCATACAAAATTTTTTGCCTTCACCAAGATATTGTGTTAACTTCTGAACTTAACCTTTTACGTTTAAAACTAGGATAGCTCTGGAATTGATTTTTGTGTATGGTATGAAGTAGACACCAAGTTTTACTTCATTGTGGCTATCTGGTTTTCCCAGTATATTTCATTTATATCTGTATTTTTAATTGTGAAATTACTTTGGAAGTGATTAGTGCCATATTATATCAGTACCAACTGAGGTAGTATATTAGTTTGCATAATAAATTATTATAAATTTAGTGTCTGAAAACAACAAATAATTTTTTTCACAGTTCTAGAAACTAGAAAGCCAAAATATTTGGGGCAGGGTAGGGCTTGTTTCTTTTGAGGAAGAATCTATTTCTTGTCTCTTTCTTAGTTTTAGGTGGTTGCCAGCAATCTTTGGCATCCCTTGGCTTTGTAAGATGAATCACTCCAGTCTCTGCCTCTGTCAACATGGTCTTCTCCCTGTGTCTCTGTGTCCCAGATTTCCCTTTTCTTCTGAGAACACCATTTGATTAGAACTACTGTATCCCAGTATGACCTCGTTTTAACTTGATATCTGCAAAGACCCTATTTCCAAATAAAGTTATATTCACAGGTTCCAAGCAAACATGAATGTATGTGTGTGAGAGATCACTGTTAAACTAACTCCATGGAAGTAGCAACAAATAAGATTAATATATTTAATTCATTTTTCCCCACTATTGAAGGACAGTATTAGTTTTGAATATAAAGAATGTCTGCCTACTCTGAAGCCATAAACCTAATTACGTTTCATCATGGTAGAAGCCATTTTCTCCCTGACTGTCTCCATTAGATTTGTTTAGGGCTTAATCTCAGGAAGCACTTATATTTACCTCAAGCTGCCCTATGCTGAGAACTCAGATATTAAACTCAATTCACAGATCTGGACCTTTGAAATTCTTTCCTATTGGTACTCAGTAACTCTTCTTTCTACTGTATCTTCATCCTGGATGATTTCCAATTTTCTGGGTAGGTGTGTGTTTATTATGAACATACTTCAGGGTAGAATCCCAAGGACTGATGGACAGATGACAAGGACAGGAGGCTTAGTATATGTTTCTAGGAACCCGGACCCTTTTGCTGCTGTAAGTCTTCATGTTGTTAACTAAAATCCAAGTTGGCTTCAGTTCATCATTAGAGAGAACCTGTTATCTTTTGAAATTCTTTTTCTAATCTTAGGGCATTATGGTAGTATCAAAACTCTCAAACTATGAACTCTGTAGTGAGGAACTGAGATGGCAGACCTTTCTAATTCCTTGAGTCCAAAGTTCAAAGTATTAGTGTTTAAAATTAGTGTCTAATTATTTTTGTCATTTTAACCAAAGCATTATATATATAGGATATTTTTGTGTAGGCTATACATGATATATGGCACATATTGTGATGTATACTGTGCTGTTGTGGTGGAGGCACATTTGAATCTTGTTAAATTGTTCACATCTGATGTTAATGTCTGATCCTAGCCATATTCCTGTTTTATCACTTAGAAATCTGTCATTCTCTTACATATGAGGCATTGGTGGGATAAACCTTTTTCAATAAAAACTGACATTTCACTTTTAAGAAACTCAGTTGACCTAGGAAAGAACTCTCTGGGCATATCAGTGTAAAATTAGGGTAATAAATCAAAATGTAATATATAACATAAGTTCCAGCATCTTTCCCTGTCTTTTATTTTTTAAACCATTTTATGTTATTGTTGTTGTATTTTATTTTACATATCCATTGTTTGTTTCTTATATAACCCAACAACTTATTTCCTCTCCCCACTTCCAATTTTTACTTTATGAAATCATATGGTTGGATTCTGTTGTTTAATGAGCTAAAATTTCAAAACATTAATTTATAAACCATAGAAAAACAGATTCCACTTTATTTCTGAAAGGGAAAGGTAATTTGAAGTACCTGCTTCATTAATATTAATTCAAAATATAACCTGAATTGCTAATAAATGTCCATATTTCATAATGGAATTTTTCTAAAAATAGAATTATTTTTAATAAAATAGTTATAATTTGAAATATAATTAAAATAAACTCTTAAGAATTCATCTTGATGATGTAATCTAGAGAGACACATTAATAAAACTGTACCCCGTAATTGCAGTAGTGTAACATCTTCAAGGGTCAGGTTTTCTTTGCTTCTAATATGTGAAGTGCCATTTTTTCCTTGAGCTCCTTTGTGTAATTATAAGCTCTCAATAAGCATTGCCATGTTTCTCCACTGAGTTTTTTAAAGTAGGATTTCAAACATAACTTTTTTTCCCTTACATTCTTCCTTTGTTTCTATTTGACAGTTTGAGTAGCTTTTAAATTTCTTTTATTATTTAGTCACTTGGGACAGTGAGCTCTCAGGATTCTTTTGAAAAGGTTAGGCCAGTTGTAGACAGCTGATACCAAGGCAGTCAGCATTGTCCAAGGGGGATCCTGTCTTGCTTTGATGTTCCTTGCATTATCAGTCTGCATTGCAAATATTTTTCCACTTCATGTCCTCCCAATAACTCCCAAGCTTTAGCACTAACACATTCCACGAGGTGTCTGTTGTCTATTTCATTGCTATTAAACAAACAAAGCAAGTTGATACATTATCACAGACTTTGAGTCCTTCTTGCATAGAATCTTTTTTTCCATTCTCCTGTTAAGCTCCATTAAGAGACTTATTCAGAGAAGATCTGCTGAAAAAAATGGCCTCAAATTTAAAACTCTCCAAATAAGACTCATTTGGGGTATTGACAATGATACACAAGAATAAAATAATGCTTTGTGAGGAACTTGAACTAAAATTTCTGGGTTGAGAGATTTTTTTTGAATGTGATCATCTGTGGTCATAATGTGGTCATCACTTGATTAGTTGAGACATGAGAGTAATGGTGATGGAAAAGATAAACCATCAGTGAAGGGGATCTGCTTGCCTGAGATCCCTGAAGGAGAGGGGCACCAGTAAGGTTTTTTTCCATTGATCCTTCTTTATATAGCCATAAAAAATTTCTCTTTAAAAAAAAAAAATCTTGTAAACATTTTTATATTAGAATTTTTCTCTTCTAGTGGATTTAATAAATGCGTATTTCATAGGCAGTGTTTTTTAATCCTGTGTCTTCACCCTGTCCCCATGCACAACAGTTTCCAACATAAAAATACTTCACAATATGAAAATACTCTAGATAGTTTTATGCTTTTATTGTAGAGAGAGATGAAAAATTTGGTGACTCCTAAATATAAAAAATATATATTTTACAATGATTTCCTATTCCAAAGTGTGACTATAACAATGGACTGGATAGTATAGTAGATATTATTAAATAATTGTCTGTTTTCTTAAGTGCGATAAGGCATTTTGGTTAAATAGGAGAATATCCTTATTTCTGGGAGTTGCATGCTATAGTATTTACAAATGAAACATCATGTCTGTAACTTATTCTCATATGGTTCAGCTAACACCAGAAAAGAAACAAGCATGTATGTGTTTTTACACACATATAAAACAAATGAAAGAGTGTTAAAAACTGGTAAATCTAGATGAACAGCTTATGGATTTTCACTGTATTATACTTGCACACTTCTGATAGATGTGAAATTTTTTTACATAAAAAATTGTGGGAATACTATAAATAATTATTCTTCCATATAGTATTCATTTTCTTGTTAGTATGGTTATATTAATTTGCTATAGTATTAGACTAGTTCATATGTTAAATATACCTTTAATATTGAATTTAAAAACATTTAAACATTAGTCATCAGTAAAGAAGTGCATTTTTCTCTCTTTGCTTTATGAGCTTATGATTCTAAAGCATTAGTTCAGGAAATTTCAAGTTCCTTTCATCAGCGAGTTATAGGTGATAATTTTTGGCAAGAAAGTAACTTCTAGCTGAGTATACACAGGATACTGCACAGATGCCATTATTTCTTTCTGAGTTTATCACTAAAATCCCCCCTTGTAGCAACCTTATGTACAGGCTTTGTTATTTAGTGGATTTCATTCCAGCTTTACATGGGATTCATATGTCATTTGATATCTAATGAGAAATATCTGTGCCCTTTTTCTTCCCTAATTGAATAAATGTTGGGGAAAGATGTGATTGTTCTGATTCTACTGGTTATTCTAATTATTATTACTCCTTTATAATCCATTTTGTCTCTCTAGACCAGAGTATTTAAATTGCTTCAACACCAAATTCAACAACAAACTTGGACTGATGAGGGCCCTCCATCTATGCGAGAGCTTCGATCAGTCTTGCTAGAATTTGCTTGCACCCATAGCCTGGAGAATTGTAGCACTGAAGCCATGAAGCTCTTTAATGATTGGATGGCATCCAATGGAACTCAAAGGTGAAGTGTATGTCCACTCAAGTGAATTCCCTTTACCTCACATAATACACTGAAAACAAATCTTCTTAACCTGGGTCGTAAATGTTATAAAACTGCATGTTAATGTAGAAGAGCTCTATGCACCTATGTTCTCAGACAAGACATTTTTAAAAATTTGGGTCAAATACACATAACATTTACCATCTTAACCTTTCATTAGAGTACAGTTGAATAGTGTTAGGTATACTCACATTGTAGTGCTCCAAATTCCAGAACTTTTCTCCTCTTACAAAACTGAAACTTTATACCCATTAAACAATTCTCCACCCCCTCCTCCCTAAAACCCCTGGAAACCACTTTTCTGCTTTCTGCTTCTGTAAGTTTGACTACAACAGATATGTGATATAAGTGAAACCATACAGCATCTATCCTTTTTTATTTAGCATAATGTCTTCAAGGTTCACATGTGTTATACCATGTGTCAGAGATTCCTTCCTTTTTTGAGGGCAAGTAATATTTTACTATATGTACTAATGCATTTGTTTATCCATTTATTCATGGATAAACCTTTGGATTGCTTCCACCTTTTTAACCATTGTGAGTAATACTGCCATGAACATAGGCACAAATCTCTTGGAGCCCTTGCTTTGAATTCATTTTGATATATATCCAGAAGTAGTAATGCTGGATCATAAAAATTCTATTTTTAATATTTTTTGAGGAACTGCTATGTTGTACCATTTTACATTCCCACCAAAATTACATAAATGTTCCAGTTTTTCCATATCATTGCCAATGTTATTTTCTGATTAAAAAAAGAAAGCTATTGCAGTACTAGAAATTGAACCCACAGCCTCACACATGCTAGGCAAACATTCTACCACTAAACTACAGTCCCAGTCCCTATTTTTTTTCATTTGATAGCAGCCATTCTTATGGGTGTGTGATGACAAAAAAAGTCTCCTTTAATTTAGAAACAAAACATGGCAGGTAGAGTGAGCAGTTAGTAGCAACACTTTGGGTGATGATCAGTTGTCTCCAGGCTCTTTCTTGGGCATTATGGAGAAAAGATTCAAGTATCAGATAGGAAGTTGGGAGTAGAGGATTCGAATAACTCTTCAAGTTTTGCCCATTTCAGAGATCTTGAAGAAACCAGACTGTGTTTCATCCTCTCTTCTTATTATATCCTGCCCTTTGTACCCACTTCTGAATTTATACCATGAAACTTGCTACATGTTATTATTTCTGTACACTTTGAGATAGCCATGAGTTCCTGGAGGACAAGGGACTATTTCTCATCCTCTCTCCAGTTGCCTGCCTGATTCTTAATAGTGCTCGGTGAATAATTACTGTATTAAATTGCACTGTGAACTGGTGTTCTTCAGAGTCCTACTCACAGGAAAGCAGAAATCACTGAATTAACCTTTTTCTTAACTCTAAATTGTGTAGTTAAGACTTTTGTGATTATTGCCTACCCTGCCCCACAACACATCACTGCCACTCAATACCATGTCCTTGTCTTTGTATTCAGAATGCTTTCTTATTTTTCTTATGTTTGATCATCTCTCTTACAGCCTGCCTACTGATGTCATGACTACTGTGTTCAAAGCTGGAGCAAAAACTGAGGAAGGCTGGTTATTCCTCTTAAGCAAGTACAAATCTGTAGGCTCTGAAGCAGAGAAAAACAAAATACTTGAAGCTCTTGCCAGCTCAGAGGATGTATGGAAACTTCACTGGTATGAAGCTAGTCAATAAATATTTGATATAAAGAAACCAAAAGATAAAAAAACACTTTGCTCCTCAGATGGAAGTTCATTTTCTTTGAGATCTCCCTCTTCCTTTTTGTCATAAGCCAGACCTGACTTGGGCAGTATGACAAAATGCTGCAGGTGCTGGGCTTCATCTTGGTGATTGAACCTTTACAGACAGGCAAAATATGCTTTATTCAGAGGTTGGAAATGTTAGGATCACAACCTTCTACCCTCCTCAAAAATGTCTTCCCTTTGGCATGTTTTAAACTACACAGTTAGTACCTCATTCTTTTGGGCCAAGGCATTTCTCTGTTCAAACTGTCATTTTAAAAATGCAGACACTTCAGAAAAAGATAATGTAGGGTGGGGCTTTAGCTCAGTGGCAGAGCCCTTGCCTAGCACATGTGAGGCACTGGGTTCAATCCTCAGCAGTGCCACATAAAAATAAATGAATAAAATAAAAGTATTCTGTCCATCTACAACAACAACAACAAAAAATTAAAATAGAAAAAGGTAATGTTTAAAAACTTAGAAGTTCTACCTTCATGTTAATTTATTCGTCAGACTTCTTTTTAACATCCAGCTGATGAAGACTTGGGAATGGGAATTTCACATGGGTGAAAGAAGGGCTGTAAGGAGGCCTCCTGATAGGAGGAACACACAATGGCAGGGTAGAGGAGCTCGAATCAAGAGAAGTGAGAAGGTATCTGGAGCATGGGGACACAGAAGCTGAAAGCCATACAAGAAGGATAGAAGGAGGCTCCTGGGTCTCCTTTCTTCTCTTATGTAATTTCATTGAGATAAATCCTAATGGTGTCACAGAGATGCCCTTAGCATGTGCTCACTTTCTACACAAGACACTGCAAATAGGCATTTTATTTAGAGCAGTGGCCAGCCTTTGACCTAAGCAGATAGAGAAAACTTTATTTCCTGGTGCACCACACGTGCAACTCCCATTATAAGGTGTTCAGATCATACCTAGAAGATGAACTAAAATGGAAGTCTTTCTCATGACCCTTCACATTAATTCTTATTTTCCATTCTCTCTGTTAATAGTAGCAGTTGTGGCCTACAGCTTGAGCATTTGTCATATGAAAAATTCTGCAAGAGAAGCACTCTGATGATGCTCATCCTGCATATGCATTCAGACATGCATGCATATTTAGCCACATTTTTTAAGTACTGGGAATTGAACCCAGGGATGCTTTACCATTGAGCTAGATCCATAGCCTTTTGATTTTTTATTTTGATCTTGCTAAGTTGCTGAGGCTGGCCTCAACTTGCAATCCTGCCTTAGTCTTACAAGTCACTGGAATTATAAGTATGCACCAGCGTGCCCAACTTTAATCACATTTTTAACATAGATTTATCCTATATTCAGTGTTTTCTTTTTGATTAGTAATCAATTATTGAGTTCATAAAGCCTACTTTTATTTGTTTTTATGGATACATGGTATTCATAAGTATGGCTGTATTATAATTTATTTAACCTGCCACATCTTGTTGGACGTTGAGGTTTTTTTGCCCTAAAAAATAGTGCCACATTCTTTTGGGAGGGTGTGTTTTCCTTACTCTCAGTAAACCGTATAGTATACTATCTAAGAACCACATACATTCCAAATGCTAGGCTTCAGTATTTGTCAGTTATAAATCATGGGGCAATTATATAACCTTAAGTTTCTTCAACTATAATGGAGATGGATAATAAATGCCTACTTCATAGCACTGTTGTGTGGAAGACTTACAGCATTATCTAGTACACAAAATCAATAAATGCTACCTACTAATTAGTATATAATGAAATGTACCTTCATTGTCAAATCATTTAAACAACCCAATTTTTAAAAGTAATTAAAGTATTTATCTGCCTATTCAAATAAAAAAAAAATGTTTTTTGCTGGAAAGAAGTACCAGTCTCAAGAACTGTAATAAATTCTAACAGAATATATTCCCTAAATATCCTTCATATATCAAAAATTATTATGTGACAGTATATGTAAATGCCTATGTTGAGTTCATCCTTTATGTTTTAAAAATGGCAAGCTTTCACTCTTCGACTAATCCAATATTTATTTCCCTTGATTTGCTATCCACCTTTACTTAGGAAACCAATACTAATTTCAGTGGAGCCACCATGTCTTCATGAATGGTTATTTCGGAGATTAAATCTGTTTTGCTCTTCAGGTTAATGAAAAGTAGCCTTGATGGAGATATCATCCGAACACAAAAGTTGTCATTTATCATTAGAACAGTGGGCCGACGTTTTCCTGGACACTTATTGGCATGGGATTTTGTCAAGGAGAACTGGAATAAGCTTGTACAGAAGTAAGTTTCTCAGAGAATGACTGTTAGTGTTCTCAGACTCTATTTAGAAAAAAAAACACCCAGAAATATTCACATTTATAAACATAATTCTGTAGCTAGAGTCATTTAACAGGGTATTCCATTCAAGTACTAATCAAAGCCAGCCATGCATGACACCAATCACTTAGACCAGCATGGCCACAGACTGTTTCAGAATAACAATTTATTTGGTGTGTTTAAAATTCCTCTCCATTGCCAAGGCATTATGAGAACTCACACCTAGCCAGATAACACATGCAGGTTTCTTTCCTTCTTTCTCTCTTTTAAAACATTGACATTTCTCTCTCTCTCTCTCTCTCTCTCTCTCTCTCTCTCTCTCTCTCTCTCTCTCTCTCTGTGTGTGTATGATCTTTGAAAAGATCAAATGGATTAAAATTCACAGGGCTATCCCAAACTCTCCTGGCGTAATCTGCCTACATTCCTTTCCCCCTGGCAGCAAGCATATGTAGCCTATCCTTGACCCTGAGGTGCAGTTCCCAAGAGGCTTCACCTTGCCTGTTGCATTAAAACAAGTCCTTTGCACTCAGAAGCAGTGCTTTGCTTACGTGTAGCTGCCTCATTTTTCTCTCTTATGTTTGTGTTTCTTCAGGTTCCATCTTGGGTCCTATACCATACAAAGTATTGTTGCTGGATCTACTCACCTGTTTTCAACGAAGGCACATTTGTTTGAGGTTGGTTGTATAAAATGTTAATGGGGAGCCTATGTAGCTTTTCCCCTTAGTTTGCCTGGTATAAGTGAAATGGTGTCTTTTCATGCTAATTCTCATCCCTTTTCTGTGTCTCCCTTCATCAGTGTTAATGATGCTATAATGAGATTACCTGTAGAGGTTTGGATGTATGGCAAGGAGAAAGCATTCTGAATCCATCCTCAACACTATTCCCTTTTCTTTCTGATACAAATAATTTCAGTGGTAATAAAATTACTTTGAGAAATTCCATTCAAAAGGTGAATTTAAACTTTAGGTACCACTCATTGTTTCTTGAACATTTTTTAATATATATTTTAAGTTAGAAAAATTCATTCTTGTGGGAGTAAAGGAAATTCATTTTTAAAACCACTTCAGATATCACCATGCTTGGTTGAGAACTCCATGTAGATACCTTCGATGTTAAAGCACTTCTTTCTACTGCTTGCAAGGAATCAGCAGAGCCATTGATAAGTTAAAGCTCATTTTTAAAGGATGGTCAGGTTGCTTGTCCTTTTCCTTTACAATTCTTCTATGTGGAACTTACAGGTCCAGGCATTCTTTGAAAATCAGTCGGAGACAACCTTTCGGCTTCGTTGTGTCCAGGAGGCCTTGGAAGTCATTCAGTTGAATATCCAATGGATGGAGAAGAATCTCAAAAATCTGTCTTGGTGGCTGTAGCATGCACAACTGCACCTCGTTTTGTCACCCATTTAGAGAGCTTGTGAATTTGGGCTCTGTTGCTTCTGCCAAAGCCAAGGTGAAGCCAAGACTGTGGCAGAGTTGTTTGCACTGTTAAAAGTTCTAGTTAGCTCAGGGCCCAACTGTCTTTTCTGAAATGTCTTTAGGCAGTATGTAGTTATTTATTACAAAATTATATTCATCTGTATGCCAATCATCTACAAAAACAATAAGTAATTTTTCTACCTTGAAGATATATGGGGAAAAAATCATTTTTGGAATTCTACCCTATTTCTCAGTGTCCAGGAAGTTATTGAGCCAGTGAAACAAGGAAAGGTCTGCTGTAAGACCCACCGTCTTTGCATGCTGCTGGTTTGGCAGCCCTTTGTTGCTTCTTGTTTTCAAATGCTATTGAAAGGTGGCTCAGAGCTGGCCTTGAAGGGTATGATAATGAAGATGGTGACACATGCAGCTGCAGAGAACTGATTTGTGTGCAGATCTACTTTTGATTTTAGGGTTTTGAGTAATCCTTTATTTTCTGAAAAAAGTTTAAATAATATCTCTATTATATTTTTTTTCCTGCACAATAGCTGGGTGCTACCGAATTTTTTAAAAATTTTTGTTGTTATTGAACAGATAAATAACCAGGACAAAAGGTTAAATTTTCCAAATATTTAATACTTTTTGTTTCATCTATATAGTGTTACCATAGGAAAATGTTCCAAACTGAGTTAGAGTTAATTATAATTATTTTTTTCATGAATGCCAATAATCCCCAAAATCTATACACTGTCATCGCTCCTGTCCTAGATAGGCCTTTTTTTCAGATAAATATTTGTTTTAGATAAATATTTCTGTGTTTGTGACAAACAATCTGTTAGCACTGGTGTTTTTCATTGTGACTTGTATCTCTAGTACTAAGAATGCAATTTGCTTAAGTTGTCTTTTGACCTCACAGATCATAGATACTTTCTCTCTAAATCACACCCATGTGTGGATTTTCATTTTATATGATACAGTGGCATATTAGAAGCATATTTTAAAATAGGGCCTTTGACAAATTAAAAAATTTTATTTGAAGTTCACCATAGTACCTTAAAGAAACAAAGAGAATGTGGGATAGGAATAAATCAAATTCATGCTTAATATGGTGGGCTTTGAATTTTTTCCACTATTAAAAACAGTACTATACTTTGGTTGAAAAAAAATCATATTCTTCTTTTATTATGGCCAAACTAACATTAAATGGAGTGGCCAAGGAAAGACAGAATGAAAGAAAGAAATCCAAAATTGTATGGCATTTTACTCCTGAAGGAGAAATACTGTACTTGAACTTTTTGAGCTATGCAGACTTATAAGTAGATTGTTATGTTTCCTTGATTCTTAGTAGAAAAGTTTTCTTCATAATAACTCTTGAGAACTTTATATTTTCTTTGAAAACAGCATATATGTACATAAAAAGGGGAATGACTTGTTTGTGAGCACTTAAAACACTCCACACAGACATTGGGAAAGGTCACCTTTTTTTATTCAGCAGATATGAAGTTAGGAAATGTGGGGTTGTGTACAAAGTTATATTTTATTTTATGAAAATATTTTTATATAACAAAATTTAAAAGGCTGGCAAGCTAAAAGATAGCCTGCTTTAATCCTAGTGTGTCTTTCTCAGTTTAGTCTTTTCTAAACATTGATTTGTTTTTGAAAATATTATGAGAATCACAGAATCATCTGAAGATGTCTTATTGAAACTGAGATGATTGTAGATCTTTATTCCCCTGTGCTTTGGTAAATGAACGATAATTTACTTGATATTTAAAGGTAGTATGTTTTTGTACTTTCAGAGTGAAGGAAAAAATACTAATCTTTTAGGGAATTTTTTGTTACTGGCATTTTACCATCTTATATTACTAAGTTCCAATTTGATACAGAGTTTAAAGTTTGCTACTTCTTGAAATCAGTTAAGATTCTTCAGTTTTATCTCCCCATCTTCACATTGCTCCTAAAATACATGTTAACTCTGCATTTGGTAAATCTTGTATTTAATTGATATAATTTTTTTCTGTGACTGTATGTGGGGTACAGGTGGTAGCGTGTTGTTGTAAGTAAAACCTTACCAAAACATGGGCTGAAAAAGAGGTAACTCATGATCCATTACTCTCCCTATACCCAAAGATGTTCATTCCCATGATACTGGATCCATACTATCTGCAATTTTATTTGTAGCCCTCACCTCAGTTTTTTTGTCATGTTAGTAGTCCTCATCTCTGTTTTTCCCATGGAATTCCATAATTTTTAATGTTATGCTAACCCATTTATATGGGAATTAAGTCAGGAATACAAGGTTAAATGAGAGGTATAACTTATAGTTATTAATTATATTGGTAGTTTTCTGATCCCTCCCCCCCAGTTTTATGTTATGCATTGTATTTCTTGGAATGCAGAAGCACAGAAGTCGTAATATGCCTTCACATAAGCACACAGCTATCTGACATAATTGAGTACTTGTTGAAATGAGTATTTAGTTCATTGAAGAGAGACGATCTACTTGAATATACTATAAAAAGGCACATGCTACTAAATCATTAGGAAAGACAGAATTGGAAATCTAGAATTGTAGAAGGAAAACATGTACCTTGGAGACCTGAAAGGTTCAGAAAAAAGAAATTGGAGGAGTTCAGATTGTTCTGTTGTTATGAAGGGATTAGACATTATACTGCAAGTACTGGCAGCTTCCATCATAAGCTTATGCCTTCCTCCATCTTTTTTTTTTAAGTTTCTTTAAATGAAATTGTATTTGTTCTTGTTTCAGTGTTCACAAAATTACTATATCAGGCTCTATTTAACTTTTTTTTTTTTGCTATATGTTTTAATTTTATGGGACTTTAGCCACTGTTACTGTAGGAATAAAAATGCTCTCAGAAGAGTCCTGGGTATAGAGAGCAAATCAAGCTGCATCAGTATTTTTGGGCACCAATTAGAATCCTTTCTGAATATTGGGAAGTAAGAAGTCATATTAAGTGCTAAGTTGTTTAGAATACTGGTAGCCTGTTACTGAACAGGATTTTAAGAGTCTATGCAAACTAAAGCATTGGAACCAAAATTTGAAATTAGGCTGCTGAGCATTTACATGACTCCCTTGTGTTTCATGGGGCTACAGGGAAGGTACAATCCAACTCAGATGTATCATCACCATGGACAGCAGTTCCTGGACTGAGTGGCAAAATTAGACCTGGATTTTGTTACATAGGCCTAAGAATTGGGGTCATAGGTATGATGGAGCTCTTCTCACCTTTGCCTTTATTACTTTTGTTTTTATTGGAATTATCTCTTTTTTTAAAAAAAAAAAAGATTTTCCCCCCCTAACCCCCATTTGTATTTTTTAAAACTAAGGTATATTTTTTGCTTAGTTCTGCATTCTTTTATTTTGTGCTTTGTTCTCTTCATTGGCAAGTAAGTACCAAGTGAAAAGTGGAGGTCCAAAAAAGGATGATGAATCCCCTCATCTCCCTTTCCCATTTGCCTGCATGGCAATAGCTAGTAGAATAATTGATTTTTTTTACATGGTTTGGGAAGATATATATACTTTTTAAATGTACATATGTGTTTTTCTGTTTTTATATCTTTCATCTTAAATATTTTGTCTTGATGAAAAATGAAATACTGTCCTATGAATCTCTCTCTCCCCTTCCCATATTACCTTTGTAACAATAGCTGCAGAGTAAGTATTTGGTTTCTTTTTCTGAAAGGAGATGGTAGTGCTTGAAGGAATGCAGAGTAGCTTCTTTTAAAAGTATGAACAAATGAACTAGGTACAGTGGCACACGCTTGCAATCCCAGCAATTTAGGAGGCAAAGGCAGGTGGCTTGCAAGTTCAGGTGATCCTGGGTAACTTAGTGAAACCCTGTCTCAAAATAAAAATTAAAAAGAACTGGGAGTCTAGCTCAGTGTTAGAGCACCTCTGGGTTCAATCCCGAGTAACTCCCCCCCCCAAAAAAAAATGAGTACAAATGTTTTTGCTGCTATTTTGTGTTGTTTCATTTTGCACTTCATTTTTCTTTTTAATGGGCATGTCAATAAACTGTGGAGGTCCACAAGTATGGAATTGTCCTATTTACCTCTCTTATTGCCTGCATGGATAATAGCAGAGTGGTCATATTGGCTGTTGCTTGGATCTAGTCTTAGGGACTATTGTTCTTTCAAGTGCATATAAACATTATGCTACTTTTTATGCTTCATTTTATAGGTCTTTGCATGGTTGCATATATGCTTAAAAATTGAGCTTTAGAATATAATAAATCTCCTGCTTTCCCTTTTCCTTTTTGTCTTGTTAGGCAGTAGCTAATAGAGTAGTTTGTTGTGTTTGCTGTGAATGGGATTTGCACTCAGTGTGTATAAATGTGCTTGCTACTACAAGGTATTACTAATTCATTTTGTACTGTGTCCTCCTCAAGGACATGAAAAGACCTAGTGAAACATGGAGGTCCAGATGTGTATCAGTTGCCTCTTCTCTCCACCTCTTATGCCTGTTGGGCAGCAGCTAGAGTAGTTGTGGAGTGAGGTATTTGGAGGGTAGGGGAAAGGGGAAGTGCACTTAGTGTATATATGTGTTCTTACTGTTATCTTGTATTAATTCATTGGGTAACCAGACCGGAAGCTACCTAATGAACCATGGAGTTCCAGATGTATAACAATCTCCTCTTCTCCCTTTCCCTTACTGCCTGTTTGGGCAATACTTTTTAAAACAGTTTTGAGTTTTTTGAAGGTTTTTATGCTAGAGGAGTGAAAGTGGTTTTAAGGTAAGAGTATATACTTTAAACATGTATATAAATGCTTTTGCTGCTTTTTGATTATTTTTTCATTTCCTATCTTGTTCTTTGTGAAGAAAGTTGAGGATCTTTCTATGACAAATCTGCTCTTCTCTTTCATTGTATTATCTGTGTGGGCAATGCCTGGTAGTATAGGCAGTTAGTTGCAAGGCTTCTGTAGAAGCATATACTTTTTAAATGTATGTGCCTATTTTTACTTCTTTTTTGCAGTATTTTACTGACTCACAGTCCTTCAACTTGGACATGTGAGGTTCCTAGTGCACCACAGATTCTCTCCTCTTCTCCTTTTTCCTTTTTATTTGTGTGGACAATAATTCTAAAGTATTTTAAGTTTTTAGGGATGAATGGGGACTAAGGACAGGATATATACTATAAAACATGTCTGTGGTTTTTGTTACTGTATTGTGTTTTTTTATTTTGTGCCAGGTCCTTTGTGTGGACTTATAGATATCTAATGAGACATGGAGGTCCGGATGTATGAAAATTTCCTCTTTTCCCCTTTCCTTATTGCCTCTGTGGGCAATAGTTGTAGAGTTGTAGATTTTTTTTTTTTTACTCCACACCTCAGAAGGATGGGGAATGTACTTTTATATCTGTATATAAATGTTTTTGCTCCTTTTTTATGTTATGCATTTTGTACCTAGACCTTTCTATGGACATTTAGGTACATAAAGAAAATTGAGGTTCATTCTATGAAAAATTATCCCTTCTCCCCTTCCCTTATTGCCTATATGGGCAATGACTAGTAGAGTAGTTGTTTAGTTGTGTTTTGTTTTTGGTTTGGGGTTTTTTGTTTGTTTTTGTTTTGGCAGGGCTGGGAATTTTATGAGTTTATATATAGATATATAGATATAGATATAGATGTGTATTTTAATGTATATAAAAGTCTACTAGTTTTAATTTTTTTCACTTCCAATCTAGTGTTTTGTTTGGACTTGTAGGTATCAAATATAATGAGAGACTCAGACCCAGAGGTATGATGTATCTTCCTTCTCTTTCCTTATCACCTGTGTGTACAGGTAGTAGTATCTAAGTACTGTAGGCCTTGTTTTGGTGTGTGTGTGTGTATGTGTATGTTTTGTTTTGGGGTTTTTAATGGGGAATGAGCTTATTAAGAAAAAAGGCTAAATGTATATATTTTTAATATGTAAATATTTTTTCACCTTTTTGAATCTTACCCTTTGCATGACTATTTAGATACTTAATGAACATTGAGATTGACTCTATGAAAAATATCCCACATACCCCATCCTTCATTGCCTGGTGGGCAGTGGTAGAATAGATATTTGTTTTCTTTGTTGGGGGGGTCTGGTTGTACATATACTTTTAATATATATAAATATTTACTGCATTCTGTGTGTTATTTCACATTGTACCCAGACCTTTACTGGGACTTGTAGATTCATAATGAAACATGGAGGTCCAGATGTATGATAACTCTCCTCTGCTCCCTTTCCCTTGTTGCCTGTAGGGGCAATACTTTTATAACTTGGGTTTGCTTTTTTATGGGGAGGGTTTTTTGGGTAGGTTGTGGAAAAGGGATGGGGTATATACTTTTTAAAAATATATATATGTATTTCTGTTATCAGTCAGGCTCCTTGTCCTTTGCATAGATAGATACACAGGTGCCTAATGAAAATCGAGGATCAGTGTATGACAGCCTCCCATTCTCCCCTTCCCCTTACTGCTCACACAGGCTATAGTGAATAGGATACTTGTGTGCTGTCTACTCAGTTGTTTGTTTTAGAGGAAGTTTTGGTAGAGGGATAGTCTTACTAAGAATAGATATGTTTTCATTTCTGTGTTGTTTTATTTTTTTATTTAGACCTTTGTATGGCTGTGTAAGAACCTAATGAAAATTGAGTTTCATAAGATAACAGAGCACTTCTACCTTTCCCACATATTTCCTCATTTAGTGGTAGTTAGTATAGTTGTTTTATGGTTATTTGTCTTTATTCTTAAAGCTACATACCTTTAAGGATATAAATACACACACACACACACACACACACACACACACATATATATATAATTTGTTTCCTTTCCCCCCATTATTTCCTTTTTATACTTGGTCGCTTGCAAGGCTCTGAATGTACCTAACAAAAATAAAGGCTCACTAAGTCCTTGCCATATGGCTTGAAGGTGTAGCAGTGTGGTGGTGTAATTAATGCCAATATGCATGCAGCAAATAAAATGAGAAAGGACACTTGGATATGGTTGAGTAGCAAAAACTTATCAGATCCAGCATTTCTTGTGTTGATTTACACTGAGTGAAATGGTGAAAAGGAACCTGTACTTTTGTACATTCCAGAAAGGCAGAGAATAGTACTAAGTAGAGGTGTGTTTAATCTTCACTGCTGATTCATCATTCAGTAATTGGCAAGCTGTTGAAGCAGGTAAGCCAGTTGAAGACCCTAAGAGTAGGTTACTTTTAAGGCCTGGAATTTTGATTTATCTACAGAAATCCTTTATAGATCAGTAACATATTCTTTCAAACCCAGTAGGAATTATTTTTGACTGTTGGAATGAATATTTTGAGTAATTTCCATTGCTTTGGTGAATGACAACATGGGCCCAAAAACTAATCCAAAATAAGTTTTGGGGACAAGCCCTTCCCATCTTTCAACATCCACATGTGGCAGGGCAAGTTCGCCCTTTTCTACCCAGAACTCTTTTGTGTGGCTTATCTCTTTCCTCAGTTCTCCTTAGGCTGGATCATCCCTGCTCTTTTTTTCTCTTTTGTCTTCAGTGTCTGCACTGTTAGATTATCTTCAGTTGTGCTTAGAAATTTAAGCCAGTGTTGCCTCATTAGCTTTGTTCTTTTTTTTTTTTATGCAACTCATGCACCCAGGCCTGTATGTTTGCTTTTAGCCTTCTTATATCATATTTCACATTGTGTTTTCATTTGCCACATGTTATGACTGCACATTTGTCTGCATCACAGAAAATGCATGTGTAAACCTCCTTCTCACTGCAGCATATTACAATTATTTGTTTGGTTTCCACCTTTGTAATGATGCTGTTTCGTGCTTAAGATTTGCCATATCATTATTTTAAAAACATTGAGTGATAGGATTCCTAGAAAAGTTGGAAGGACATATTATTTACCATATCAAACTCTCAGGTTTTAGTGTTGAAAAATTAGCTTATACATTGCTGTTACTTATACCTGCTGCTGTAGGAAAAATAAGAGTTTATTCATGACACACTTAACTTTGATCATAAATAAAAGAGAAATGGGCACCTTTTTGCAGTTAGTCATGGTAGTCATTAGTGATATTTCTGAACGGTTTTTAATTTGAAGTACTTCAAAGGAAGTAAAAGGTCATGGCTTAGCTGAATGAAATGCTCCAGAAGTTGGACTGTGTAAACCACCAGTACAATAATATACTTGTTTGTGTATGTGTATATAAAATGAGAATTACAGCATAATTGGAGCATTTTCATTAATCAGCAAACTCACATTGAGACAAACCTTAGTCTTACAGCTGTCTTGATTAAAGCCAAGTGTTCCATGTTGCTGTGAAGATTAGGCTTTTTCAAATACTTTGAAAAGTAATTACTTGGAAAATTGTAATAGTATTACATTTTTGTATTTAAACACCTATAGAGATCTTCAGTTCCTTCAGTCTGAGCTTGTTGGTGAAAAATCTAAATTTGTACTATAATATGTCTTTTGTGGAAGATTTTGAAAATAGTGTGTGTGTATATATATATATATATATACATATATATGTGTGTGTATATATATATATATATATAATATTATATATGCAAATTGTGTTGCTTCACCTCTAAAGGGAAAAAGTTTATTTTTCTTTATACTTCTCATAACTTGTTTTGCATATGACCAGCACTGATTGAAAGGCATGTTTAACTGCAAACACTGTTGCTTATTTTTTTTCCTTTGGGAAATGAAAATAAAAATATTTAAATACATATATTGTGTGGACTCTTCAGATTACGAAAGATACCTCCATAAAGCAATAGTTCTTCTTAGATTTCATAATCTGGAGATTATGCCCTACTCTACCAGGGTAGCTTCTATATACATTGTCTTTCCTGATTTGCTTTCTACCTAACCAGTACCCAATTATTCTTACTATATTTTAACTCAAGGTTTCTCAGACCCACACTATTGACATTTGGGGCTGGATAATTCTTTGCTATGGGTCACTGTCCTTTGCGTCATAGGATGTTTAACAGCAACCTCAGCCTCTATTGTCAGTTGCAACCAGAAGTCACTAGATGCCAAAAGGAACTCCTCCCCTCCCCTTCCCCCTGTGTGACAACCAAAAAACACCTCCTCTACACATTGCAAAATGTTTCCTGGAGTGGGTGTTAAAACTTTCAATGGATATATGGGACAAGGGACTCAGTAAGAGGAGCTCTATCCAGCAGTTACTTCTTTTTGGAATGAAGAAATTCTTGAACACTCAGATTTCTCAAGGAGTAATTGGTTACAGTAATATACATACCTAGGTCAGTATGAGATAGGTAATTTACTATGGTGGTGAATCCAAGGAACACTGCTAGCTTAGTCTGAAGGTGGGACCCACTTTGACTTATAGATAACTGAGGTGTGAATGTGCAGCCTGTTTGGAATGACACTGCCACAGTTATGTTCAGGACCACAAGATTTATCCCCATGAGTAATCTTGAGAGAGAATTGATAATTTCTCAAGCTTCCAAAAAAGGGGACTGGAACCAATGTTCTTTCCAGTAATTATGAGGACTTAAAGTTGGTCATTTGAGGGCAAATTGAGTAAGACTCTTAATTCTCATACCCAAAGCCCAATTTCTGGAGTATAAAAGCTTGATTCTATGCCCTTTTTGAATTTCTTATCGTGATTATTACTTATATATAGGCAACACACTCTTAGAAATTGGAAAGATTTTTTTTTAATTTTTTAGTTGTAGATGGACACAATTTTACTTATTTTTTTTCTTTTTTTAAATTTATTTTTATTAGTTGTTCAAGACAATACAATGATCTTGACATATTATACATCTGATTCAAATAGGGTATGAATTGTCATTTTTCCACGTATACAGATTGCAGAATCACATTGGTTATACATCCATGTGTATTTATTTTTATGTGGTGCTGAGGATCAAACCTAGTGCCTCACATTTGCTAGGCAAGTGCTCTACCACTGAGCCACAATCCCAATCCCAGGAATTGCAAAGATTTTGATCCAAAAATTCTGCTTAAAATTTTTATTCACATCAACCATAAGCCATGGAACTAAAACCCATTATAAGTGTATAAAATATTTTTACTCCAATAGTCTTCGGATGGAGAGTAACATACCTTTTCCTATTTTTCTAAACTATTTTTAGAACTTATAGTACAGAAGAATTTCATTTGGCTGTGTCTTTTTGCTTTCTTTCAATTCTTATTATGAGGACTTCCTTCCCCAAACAGTGTTTACTAAAACGTGTGCAAATTCAACAGTAGATTTATATGCTGTAAAGATGTGTTTTATTATCAGCGCAAACACATACTTCTAAGTTATTAATTACACTTATCCTCTACAGCTAATGATTTATGATAAGTTTTCAATATCTTGTGCTAATATACTTTTCTTCATAGATGACATCTAGTCTACTAGTCAAAGTCTATTTGAGTCTAAATGCACTTTGGGGACTATTGTGATTTCTATTATGGTTTAGATATGAGGTACTTCCCAAAAATTCATGGGTTATCCAAAGTGTCAATGTTCAAAGTTGAAAGGATTTAATTATTAGAGCTGTAACCTCATCAGTGGATTAATCCATTTGATGTGTTAATAATTTGAAAGAACTACTATACTAGGTGGTAACTATAGATAAGTAGGGTATAGTTTGAGAAAGTAGGTTACTTGGGGAATGCCCTTAGGGATTATATTTGTACCTACTCCCTCACTCTCTTTGATTCCTGGCTGCCATAAGCTGAGCAGTTCTCCACAACCTACTTCTGACATGATATTCTTCCTCACCTTACCACAGGCCCAGAGCAATGAAGTTGGTGATCATGGACTGAACCTCTGAAACCATGAGCTCAAAATAAACTTTTCCTTCTCTAAATTTTTCTTGTCAGGTATTTCATTCATAGTGACAAAAACTAAGTAATGTAATTCTGTTCTTAACTAAGCTTCATTATATTCAAGACCTTTATTTATACATACAATGATCTCAGTCTGGTTTTCCCATTCATAAAAGAACATGATGTAATAATACAGTAATATAACAGAGTTGTCAATTTGAACTGGAAGCACCAGAAGTCAAGAATTTGAAAGGAAATTTGGAGACATACAAGAGGTCATATCTGCACAATAGATACTATTGAGGGATGTCAGTATATGGTTTACTAAGTTTCCATTATGTATAAGCCAAAGTTGGAAAATTGAAAGTCCTTTCTTTCAGTGTTTTCTGATACTGTTGCTCTCCTCTGTAAATCCTGTTTAATAGATCCTGGGGTGCTACATGGAGGATTGCACACTGGATGCCCTATGGATTTAGTGTGGCTATTTATGTCTTTATTTTCTTTGTCTCAAAGGCCCCTGCAATTTTCAATTTCTGAAAAATTATTGAAATATTTCACATGAAAACAAAAGTAAGGATTTCAAGAAATTAAAACACTTGAAAGGCTATGGAGCATAGACTGGAATCAATCAGGATGGGAACTGATTTCAGGTTCAATTATTTTTCACTTAAGAGAGAATTGTTGTTAATTCCTATTAACCTTAGTTTTATCCACTTGTAAAATTAGGATACTGCCTACCTACAGTATCCTATACTGCAGGATTGTTAGTGTTCAATAAAATACCTGTAACTTTCCTAGCACAGTATCTGGCACAGATATACTAGGTATCAACTACTATTGTTCAAATTGTCTGCTGCTTTCTGAGTTATATGGATGTTAATGCCTTGAGTCACAAACAGAAATGGATTTTTAAAAATTGAATAGGGTTATATAAATTTCCATTTAGTAAATTACATAAATAGTCTAATCTGCTGTTTATACACTTAAGCCTTAAATTTGCCAAGATTTTGTTTGAGTGCCATTGTGGTATAATAGAACAAGCATGCAGGTATATTGGTTTTATAACTGAAATAAAATCCTAACTGTTGGTGAATTTTGGTAATGTCAGTAAGTACAAAATAAAATTTAGATTTTGTTAACTAATCTAGTGGGGGTAATAATATCTACTTTGCAGTAAAAACATGAGCTAGGTATGTGGTACTTCACAGTAGCTCAAATATTCTTTACTTCTTTCAATTTTTTTGCCTCAAGTATGCAAAAGAATCAAGCATTCCCATGTTCAATTCTAGCTAGAAAACATTGTATGTAAATTATGCCTTAGATGGTGTGGTGCAGAGATATTGGCCAAATGGTTTAGGATCTCTGATAACTAGTACTGGAAGGAACCTTTTACATGACCTGCTCTAGCTTTGTCATTCTTGAAATAACGGCACCAAATATTACACCTTACCTAAAATCCCACATAATAACATAGTATGTTAAATTTGTATGTGTGTTTAGGTTAAAAACTGTTTGTACGCATCACCTTTGAGACAATTGATGTGCAATTGCTTAACAAATTCTGTTTCCTTGTAATAGAGAATTAGAATTTGAAAGAGATATTTCATTACTTTAATGTTGAATGTATAGCTAAATTAAACTCTCCAGCATTTAACATTTACACATGGTGATGATCTCAATATATGATCTCAATAGAGTTGCTCGTGTGTGTGTGTGTGTCTGTGTGTGTTTGTTTTACGAGGGACAACTCAGAGCCTTGCACATGCTGAAAAAGCACTCAACCAAATTGTGCTCCCATCAAGCTACCTTCCCAGCCCTTTTTAATTTTATCTTGAGACAGGGTCTTCCAAAGTTGTAAAGGCTGGCCTCCAACTTGCAATCCTAACTGTCTAGGGCTAAAAGAGGTACATTTGAGGTACATTTAAATGAATTATATTCCATTGAAGTCGTCTGTCTAAGGTGGAAGGTACTAATGTCAGGAGTTTCAAATAGACTCTCTCACCACCAAAGGGGAGACAGGAGGGAGAGGGTGGTTTCCATTACTGAAGTGACAAGTGATAAATGTTTGATGAGTCAGATGGAAGTACTATCTTCACTGACTACAGGTAGAAAATAAAATGAACCATCCTAAAGTAGTTTGCACTCAGACTGAGATGGACTTTGGATCCTTGGCCACAGACTCCTAGATAATGGATGCATATTGCTGTCCTTTCAACAGATCCCCTTTTGTTACCAGAAGGTCAGGACCTTCAACAAAGTTCACAATTAAGAGAAAAGAGACAGTATTACAGAATTTTTAAATCAATAATTTCACTTATTTGATTTTTTTTTTTTTTGAATGTCTTAAGATGCTTCTCTGTCGTGTATGGGTCTAAAGTCTCTTTTCTTCCTTGTTCAGATCTTAGCACCTTCTCAAGAATCTTTCCCACAAAATGACTAAAGCCAAAGTATGACTGAACAGCATGGGTTCCCCCAAGACATTATCTCTATTGGGGATCCTGAGGGGGAAGTAACCCTCTCATGCCACATGAGCTTCATCTCCACTCAGTATTTCTCTTCTCCAGAGCTTCCCCTGTACCTGGGCATTTATGAGGGATCTTTTTACTTACCCATCACATACACACACTCCTGCACATATGCACACAAACATACCCAGGCCTTATTTACTCTTCACTCCTATACTTAGACATTCTCCTGACCTTAAAATTTCTCTATTCCTGTTCATCTACATCCAAATGCTCATGGTGAAGTATATCAGAACAAAACTAAGGGCTTACAGTTTGCTGGTAGCCCCACAATTTAGAAGACCAGTTTGTGGCCTTTTTCTATTTGGATATATTTCTCGAAGTCTCACCCTTAATTGCAAGCAGCTTATCAATTATTTACATCAAACTAACACATTGTTCTCATA